AATACTATTTTCTATGAATTTTATACTAAGAAATAAAAAGGAAATATATTTAAAATTCACAAAAAAGGAAAATAAGGGTGCAGACGTCAGGATGACATCAACACCCGGCGAACACGAATTGAGAGGAAATAGAGTTTCGCCCGATGATTCTTATGTAAGCGATTACAAATGATTTAATTGATCAAATTAAGATCTGTAAAAGCTAAAAGAATCGTAATTGAACGAAGTATATTTTGGTTAATTAAAATCACATAAATTATCACTAAATGAAGCGTAAAGTAAGTTGAAAGTAGGAAAACAGAGTTCTGGCGTCGCGGCGGCAAAACAGAGTCGGCGATGCACCAGAATCTTGAGTATTCGGGAGGATAGTCGTGTAGTGTCCACAGCCTTGAAGGCTCTCCTTGGACAAGGACGATGTGGGCAATATCTAGATCTCCTTGCGAAGTCTAAAGATCAATGAAATGAGTCGTCAAATTGTCTCCGGCCGCTGTCACTCGGCGTAGCAGAAAAACGGCGACTTTGCGATTCTCCAGTGGCTGTCACCCGACGGAGAGGAGTTGGATGGAGGTGGGGCGCATGTCAGGAAGCTTCATCCTCAGGTCCGCGCAGCAAGAGGAGGCTCTTCATCGCATCTAGTACGCTCTCAGGAGGTGGCAACTCGTCTCCTAGTGGATCGTCCTCTTCCCGATGACGACTTGTTCGTCGATCAATTAGAGATGCTTTACTTGATTGATTCGCGATCCTTTTATCGTAAATCGTTCAACAATTTTAGTAACAATGCTCCGCGAATCGTGTTGACGAGATTTTCACCGATGATCTAGTGATTCTAGTTGCTTAATTCTTCACCGGCGATTTGCAGGAAAGTCGCAATAATTAGATAAAAAAATATGAGTTTTAGCTCTAGGAGGATTCGAACCCGCGCCGGTTGCCCGCCCTTTTTAGGGAAGGTGATGCGGGTTTAGTCCCACATCGGTTGTGCGTCGAAGTTTCTAGGGAATATAAAGTAATATTATATTCGCAATCAAGCGTGCGTGTACAACCACTCCTTGCCCCACAGCCGGCTAGCTACCGGTGACGTGGAAGGGGAGTGGTGCACACGTGCCCCCATCGGTTCAAGCTGCTCAAGCCCTTGCTCGCGACTACTTCCCGACTACGCTTTCGACCCGCTCGCGGGTCCGGCTGGCCAGTGGGTCCCCCCATTTTGTAATTTTTTTATTTTTTTATTTCTTTTTCTTCATTTATCTCAAAAGTAAGACTATAAAAATCATATAAATTCGTATAAAATCACATAATTACCCAAAAATCACATTAATCAACTAAAAACTACTTTTTCACACTTTAACACAAATATAAGTCTATTTATCACGAGTTAAGGCTAAAACTATATTATTTACTAATTATTAACTTATGATAATGAAGACTTATCAAGCAGCGACCAAAGACGTGGAGGGGATCGTAGGAGAAGAAGAGGAGGATATTGTATCCAAAGCATGAGGAGCCATGAGAGACATGGGCTGAAGAGGGGTGGGTGTGGGTAGCGACTCCAAAGAGAGTGAACATGAGGGAAGAGAAGAGAGAGGGTCTACAAGAACCACCAAGGGAGGGAACCCAAGTGGAGGAGACATAGCAGCTCGAGAAGGAGGAGAAGGAGAGTGACAGTAGAGATGACGATGTCAGAAGAGGGAAGAGTGGTGATGCTAAAGAGCCGCCTAAGGAGGGAAGAGGCCAGCGAGAAGGAGAGCGGCACGTTGGAGATAGACGACGCACTGGAGAGGAGGGGGACAACGAGAGATACCTAAGGCTCTAATACCATGTTGACACGAGAGAGAAAAATTCTGAAATTCATACAGTCTCAAAAGATAGAATACATGACTCCTATATAGAAGAGAGGAGAGATGAGAGAGAGAGAGATAGATAATGGGCCTTAATGAGTCAGGAGTCCAATACCACTATCGAACAAGATATAGAGACATGTGTAATAAGTAGGTTAAAGAAGACATTGTATGGACTTAAATAATCACTTAAGACCTTATTTGAAAAAAAAAAAAAAGTATTGTGTGAGTTAGAATATAAATCATTGAATGAAGACCATATATTATTCATCAAACACAACTTCATGAGGAATTATAATTCTCCTAATATATGTAAATGGCATAATAATGATTGAAAATAATAAATGTGAAAGATAATCCTAGAGTGAAAACTTATTAAAGGAATTTGACATTAAAATGTTAGAAAAATTAAGATATTTATTAGGGATATAAGTAACATATGAAAAATAAGACATTAATTTCACAACATGATTATATCTTAGATCTATTATAAGATACTAGACACAATTAGGATGTAAATCTATAAATGCATAATATATATTAATCATAAACTTAGTGATGCTAAAAAAAGTAACAAGATAGATGTACTCAAATTCCAAAGATTAATAAGAAAGTTAATATATACTTCTCACATTAGACCTAATATATCATACATTGTTGTAGTACTTAGTCAATTCATGCATGATTTGCATATATCTCACTTGTTTGTTGCCAAACGAGTTCTTCACTATCTCAAAGGCACACTCTAGAATGATATTTCATATAAAAAATAAAATAAACTAGATATGAAAGTATATATTGATATTGATTATGTATATTTCATCGTTAATCAAAGATATATCTCAAGTTATTGTATATTTTTAAGTGACAATCTCATCACTTGGTGAAGTAAGAAACAACATGTCATGGCAAGGTCAAATGCATAATCAGAATTCCAAGTGATGGCACAAAGAATTTAAGAACCACCATGGGTGAAAGAAATCTTATAATACCTAGGGATCAAGCCACTTAAAATATATAATAATAATAAATTAATAATAAATATTACATATAATCTAATTTAGTACAATCACACAAAGCACATAGAGATTGTCCAACACTTTATAAAGGAGAAAATTAGATTGAGAAACCATATGTACATCATATATCTCCACTTATGATCAGCTTGTCAATGTATTAACCAAGGGGTTGAGTAGACCAACATTTCTTGAACTTATATCCAAGTAGAGATTAGATGATATCTATTCACTAACTTGAGGAGTAAAGTTAATGGAAATGAGTCGGGGTCAATCTTAAGTAGATTCATTAGATTGATTTGACCCAATAAACCCTCTTTTTTTTGTATATATACCTATGTATCACATTCCTTTTATTTTGAATGAGGTATTTCTTTTTTCTATTCTCGTACCCTTTCCCATATGAAAAACCTATGGTTTAATGGGTCCCCCTTCCCAACAGCTCATGATGCCAATGAAGGTTTCCGCTTGAGTCAACAAAATCAATATGTACATTCTCCTTTCACACTACAATAAGTTCCTCTCTCTCTCTCTCTCTTTACCTCACTCTCCCTATCTCTCTATACCTCGCTCTCTCTCTCTCTCTCTCTCTCCCTCTCTATCTCTCTCTGCCTCGCTCGCTCTCTCTCTCTCTCTCTCTCTCTCTACCTCACTCTCCCTATCTCTCTATACATCGCTCTCTCTCTGTCTCTCCCCTCTCTATCTCTCTCTGCCCTCGCTCGCTCTCTCTCTCTCTCTCTCTGCTCTCTCTCTCTATCTCTCTCTGCCTCGCTCTCTCTCTCTCTCTCGCTCTCTCTATCTCTCTATCTCTCTGCCTCGCTCGCTCTCTCTCTCCCTCTATCCCTCTCTCCCTCTCTCTCGCTCTCTCTATCTCTCTCTCCCTCGCTCGCTCTCTCTCTCCCTCTCTCTCGCTCTCTCTATCTCCCTCTCCCTCTCTCTCTCCCTCTCTCTCTCTCTCGCTCTCTCTCGCCTCGTTCTCTCTCTCTCTCTCTCTCTCTCGCTCTCGCCTCGCTCTCTCTCTCTCTCTCTCTCTCTCTCTCTCTCCTCTATCCCTCTCTCCCTCTCTCCCTCTCTCTCGCTCTCTCTATCTCTCTCTGCCTCGCTCGCTCTCTCTATCTCTCTATCTCTCTCTCCCTCTCGCTCTCTCTCTCCCTCTCTCTCGCTCTCTCTATCTCCCTCTCCTCCCTCTCTCCCTCTCTCTCTCTCTCTCTCTCTCTCGCCTCGTTCTCTCTCTCTCTCTCTCGCTCTCTCTCGCCTCGCTCTCTCTCTCTCTCTCTCTCTCTCTCTCCCTCTATCCTTCTCTCCCTCTCTCCCTCTCTCTCGCTCTCTCTATCTCTCTCTGCCTCGCTCGCTCTCTCTATCTCTCTATCTCTCTCTCCCTCGCTCGCTCTCTCTCTCTCCCTCTCTCTCGCTCTCTCTATCTCCCTCTCCCTCCCTCTCTCCCTCTCTCTCTCTCGCTCTCTCTCGCCTCGTTCTCTCTCTCTCTCTCTCTCTCTCTCTCTCTATCTCAAGCTCTCTCCATGGGTTCTTCGTGGAGAATCTTTTTGAGCCTAGAAGCCCAATAATGTGGGCTATGACTCGGGCAACAGGCTCACACGAGATCCATTCATTCCGCGGGGAAAAGATGTATCCTAATGGGCTAGGGTATGACCCAATATAAGCCCAATTATACACTTACATACAAGCGTCCAATAAGCAGTGAACCCCCACAAAAGCCTACGGCCCAATTATGTGGGCCGAGTTGGGCCTGCACAACTTCACAAAATCGACGACCCAATATCTGCATTCGCGTGGTCACATTTATAAAATAATTTCTTCATTGGGTTTTTTTCAAATAACGAACTCATTTCGATAAAAAAAATGCCATGGAAAAATCAACGATATTTTATAAATATTTTATGACATCGTTGGAAAGTGTGGGCGAGCTGGCGGAATGCCCGGTCCCTCCCCCGCCCCATTCAAAAATTTGAACGTTACGTCTTGGTGGGCCCCATGTGGTTACCGTAAGAATCAGACCGTTGGAGCGGTGTCATAACTCGCAGACCTACAGAGACCCCTTTTTCCTCGCTTGCCCTCCTCCTCCCCCTTCTTTCACCGATCGGACGGGTTCGTCACTCTCCATCGTCGTCCTATGCCTGGGCTGCCTCCGTCGATGGCGATCGCTGCGGAAAACCAACGAGATGAAAAGGTACGCAAAAAATGCCGATCTGCAGCGATGTAGGGCTCTTGCGTGCGGAGATCGGTCCCTTACAAACGTAGTTTCACGATTTGACACTCTTCGTCCTGTTCCGCATTACTTCGAAATGCATCTTTGGTTTTCTTGTTGGATTGCTCTTTTGAGGGGGGAAATGTCCGAGCGATTGAGCTTCCGCGTTGAGGATTTCCGTCGGGCAGGAGATTTCCGCGGAAATACAAGTGATCTTCGTTTATTCCGCTGCTTTCTCTTTGGAAACTCACGTTTCTTCCTTTCGACGGAGAAATCGGGCCATTATAAGGAATTACTCAAATCGATCGTGATTTTCCAGCGACCGTGTTAGGAAGCTGCAAGGGTGACATAATCCTGTTCGCGTTCCCACCGCTTGATCGCGTTTAGCCGCCGCCCCTGCAGGAATTGGCAAAACACGATGTTCTTCCAGATTCCTCACCAAATTCTTCGCGGTTTCTCACTGAATTTCATACTACGCTCGCGGTGGGTGTTAGATCCCGGCGATTTCCAAATTTATCGCACGCAACCGACGGACCTGTCTCCTCTGGACTCCATTGCAGGTTTCTGCGAAGGCATCTGCCGCGGAGAAGCGATGGACGCTAAACGATTTCGACGTGGGGAAGCCCCTTGGGAGAGGAAAATTCGGCCACGTTTATCTGGCTCGAGAGAAGAAGGTACCAGAACGATCTTTGCCCTGCTCGTCCTCGATCCACAGTCACTGACTCTGCTATATGACTACAAACAACAGAGCAATCATATCGTGGCTCTCAAGGTGCTCTTCAAAAGCCAGCTAAAGCAGTCCCAGGTCGAGCACCAGCTACGCAGAGAAGTAGAGATACAGAGCCATCTACGGCACCCAAATATACTCCGCCTCTATGGGTACTTCTACGATCAGGTCCAGCTTTTATCCTGATCTCACTAGCCATGATCAGGGCAAGCTCTGAATGAAGCCCACCCTCGGTTTTCTTGCAGACCCGTGTTTATCTGATCTTGGAGTATGCCGCGAAGGGTGAGCTCTACAAGGAGCTCCAGAGGTGCAAGTTCTTCAGCGAGAGACGAGCTGCAACCGTAGGTTCCAATTTTTCTGGATCCGCGCGTGTTCTTATGCTTCTTCTCTTTTTTTTTCTTCCTTGCGTTACCACCCAGATGATCAGATCTGTTCATTTCGAGTTTCGATTCATTGGTTTCGAGATCTGTATACATGATTTGATTCGATCGGGTTCAGCTGATTCCTGTGGTTCTGTTTATTCAGTACGTCTCATCATTGGCCAGAGCCCTGATCTACTGCCATGGAAAGCACGTCATTCACAGAGATATTAAGCCGGAGAACCTTCTGATTGGCATGCAGGTGCCTATTTTTTCCTCAAAAAAAAAAGAAAAAAAGAGGAATTTTTCCCCATAGTTGATGGCTCAATAATCATAAATCATGCTCACAAAGTCGATCTTCTTCGCGAAGGGCGAGCTGAAAATCGCGGACTTCGGGTGGGCAGTCCACACCTTCAATCGAAGGCGGACCATGTGCGGCACACTGGACTACCTCCCCCCCGAAATGGGTATGTTCTTGAGGAGTCACTGCGATGATCCTCCCTGATTTATGAAGTCTTTTTATTACTAACTAAGATCTGATTCTTCCAGTGGAGAGCGTAGAGCACGACGCCAGCGTGGATATCTGGAGCTTGGGCGTCCTGTGCTACGAGTTCCTCTACGGAGTGCCCCCATTCGAAGCGAAGGAGCACTCGGACACATACAGGCGGTAAGAATCTCTCTCTCTGTCTCTCTCTGTCTCTCTCTCTGTCTCTCTCTCTGTCTCTCTCTTTACACGCGACTAATCGCGCTGCAGGATAGTGAAAGTGGATCTGAAGTTTCCCGCAAAACCGGTCGTCTCATCGGGCGCCAAGGATCTGATTAGCCAGGTGAGAGAGCTTCTGCGACTTTTTCTTTCGTCTTCTTGGTTGATGGTGGAGGACTAAAATGCCCACTTTTGCGCGCAGATGCTGGTGAAGGACTCGTCTCAGCGCCTTCCGCTGCACAAGCTCATGGAGCACCCGTGGATCGTCCAAAACGCTGACCCTTCGGGCATCTACAGGAGCTGATCCGATCGATGATGATGAGATAGATATATGGGGGTGGTGCAGCGAAACAAAGGCCATGAATATTATGAGACAATCAATCGTCCTTGTCGTCGTAGCTGCAGATCTCTTGCCTGCGAAATATTCTTCTTCTTCTTCTTCTTCCTTCTTCGTCTAATCATGTCTGTCTCACGATGAAAGCTGGACGAAACTGCAGGTGTAACGGGAATTTATATATCGCATGCTCTTCTGTCGTCGTCATCTAGATTGATTCCATTTTTTTCAGATAAAAAAATAAGGAAGATGCATAACTACATACATAGATGCATCGTATCTACATACATACATACATATTTATTCAATGTGTCGAGAATAAGAAACAAAAGAATCGTCCTGGTGTTTTGTACCAAGAGGAAGGTCGTTCGTCGCCCATCTCAGATGTTGCCATTCTCGGCGGCGCCGCCGCCTCCGCTGCTCGCTCCGTCCGCCAACTGGCTGCTGTTATCATGCATTCCGTCGTCCTCGTCCTCGTCTTCGACGTGTTCATGGCTGAGAAAACTCGGCTGATTGGTGGAGGAAAGCAGCCTCGCCCACATTCTGTCTGTTATCACCACCTTCCTCTGGGTCTCCGTCGTCCTCTGCGGCGCCCATCATACATCAGATACATACCGAGGTGGGTGGGGCATGGCCCAATAATGGAGATTAACGGAAGAAGAGGAGATACGATGCACACTTACGTAGAAGGGAATGTAGGCGTGCCTTCCGTTGACGGGCCCGACTGTGAAGCCCGTGTAGCCCGCCATGGCGCCGTGAACGGCGCTCTGAGCCAGAAGCGTGCAGTAGACGTTGTCAGATGCGTTGCTGGGGACTGCCCTGATCATGTACGTCGGATCTGCGAGCACACGGATCCCATTCCGTGAGATCTAGCTGGTCAAGAAGCTCAGGAGGCAGAGGGTAGAGGAAAGAAAAGGGCTTTCTAAGAAGAGAACCTATGTATTTCAGATTTATCACCATCTTCGGTTTCTTGGCAAAATGATCCTGCAGAGAAGAAGTCCGCGGGCGGTTACTATCGCAGATGAATATCAGATCCCAGGAAGAAACCTGCCGATAGGCTGGGATCAAGATCTACCTTTATCTTCTGAGACAGCCACAGACCCACATCGAGAAGAAGCTTATTTCCAGAGGGATCCTTCGAGTTCGCTGACCGCATCGTCTCTGCGATAAGCTCCTGCCCAGCGCCCTCGGCGACGACGATGACCATGTGGCCGTGTTCTTTCAGGCATCTCTCTATGAACTCGAAGAGTCCCCCGGGCCCCTCCAGGTAGAATGGGGATTCTGGGATCAAGCAACAATCCTGGAAAATGGGCATCGGGCTATGTTATTTGACAAATCCGAAATCGGGAGCTCGAGCTCAACTATCTTTGAAAGAGGTAAAAGGCTTACCACGTCTCGGCTGGCAAGAGTAGCATACATAGCGATGAACCCTAGACAGACATGGGAGAAGAAGACTCTGTTAGTCAATCTTCAGTACGGCGTAAAACTCTTAAAAACCATAGGTATCGGACATGTGAAGACTTCGCATGCTAATCTAAATGATACAACTATAAAAATCAGCAGCGTGCTAACAATTCTGAGACAGGACGTCAAAAGGTTCGGCTAATTAGGCAGACGAGACTGACCGCTGTTGCGGCCCATCAGTTTTACTACACCGATGCCATTTTCACCGCTTTCAGCCTCAACGTGGGCAGCGTTGATGGCCCGCTGTGCCTCTTCAACAGCAGTGTCAAAACCAAAGGACCTGTCAATAACCTGAAGACACACGGCTCTGAAGTGTAAAGAAGCGATGAAAAGAGCAAGCACTGCCGAAAGCAGATTAGTTTCTCATGATAGGGAAAGGTAGTAGATAATCTGCTTACCGCAATGTCATTGTCAATGGTCTTAGGTATTCCAACAACAGAAACCTTCAGGCCACGCCTTACAATTTCCTGTATGAATATTATAATAAGGAAAGATGAGTGTGGGCCCAAAAAAATATCCAAAGAGGCCAAAAAAACATTAGTTTTTCCTTCCGTGATACGTTGATGAATGCAGTCAAGGCCAATGAATAACACAAAATGCTTTGGTAACAGCTGTTACCTCAAAAATTACTGATGCCCCCTTCTGTGTTCCATCCCCCCCAATAATATACACCTGAAAGACAAGTAAATTACAGTGCTTGAACTCACTGGACCATGAAAATAGATATAAAGGTTCGCATGCTCCTAAGACTTACCTGATTGATCCTCCGGTCTTGGATACTATCTACGATCTTTGTAGTGTCCTGGCCACCTCGTGAAGTGCCAAGAACCGTACCCCCTCTCTTGTGGATGTCATTGACATATTTAGCTGTCAAGGGAATGGTGTTGCGAGCATAGAAACCCTTGTATCCTCCCTGCAGATTCCGTAATGCTTTTAAGAGATTGTGCACCAGTTACTGCACTTGGATTCTTTCTAGACAGAGAAACTTGGCATAAATGGCATCAATCAATGATGGTGTAGATTATGATCAAAGAAAACATAAAAAGCTGACACCATTACAGTTCAAAATATATCTCATCCATCATTGCATTGATGTCAATGAGAAGGTTCTATTCTCCTACTTCCATGAGCCATGCTTCTACATATGAAACATAGCAACTTCCCTCCTTAGCAGACATCCATAAACGCGAATTTAATGCCACCTTAGATGGGTTTCTGTTTGTTTGTTATCCATGTAAAACAGATCAGTGTCTAATACAATTTAAAGATAACTTTCGATTAAGTGTTTAGCGGATGCATAATGACAGAATACGGTTGCAAGAATGGGAGAATCAATAGGAGAAGTGATAAGACATAGTCTATCCGTCTGGATTCACCACTATAAATGAAGAAACTCGAAAGTCGTTTATGCTGCCCAGGAGAATGCAAAAATTACAACTACTCACCTCTATCCCCAGAATTCTGGTCACTCCATACATATGAGATAATCCACAAACTATTTCTCTAATCACAGTGTTCAGTCCAGGGCACAGGCCACCACACGTAACAATGCAAGCACGCACTTCATCTGATTCAAAATAAACCTGCGATCATTTAAATACAACTGTAAGTACTTGATATCCATATCTACCTGACACCGTCCAGGCTAAAAAATATACCTTCTGCCGGGGTCCTGCACGTCTGAAGTGAGTTCCTCTCGGGCTAGTTTTGTGAACTACAATCTGTCAAATAATTAATAAACCAGAAATATTAGTCTGTAATTTCAACTAATGGGGATTAATTACTACTTCTATTTTTTACCATAACTAATTGATAGAAAAATAAAATAACTATATCTTATCACTAAAATTCTAAATGATGATTCGATAAAGACTTCCCAACAGAAAATGTCACCCCGAGCTCATGACTCATGCGTAGATGAGTGGCAATTACTAAATGGGATACCAATTTCAAAAAAGTACGTACAATTTGCGTGGAGTTTCGGAAGGATTAAAATCACAATAGAAGATAATAAAAGACTCCATGCGTAATTTTTGGAGACTGAATTTACCTTTTGAGCGACGGTATCATCAATATTAACGAAGTACTGCCTGCAAGAACATGAAATTGCACGAATTAGTACTCCAGACGCGAAGCATAAAGAAACACCGGCGAAACAGACCCTTGCTGAATGGACTTACTTGACGACTGAGTAAGCTGGATTGTCTTGCAACGGATTTGGATATTTCTGTCAAAGGCACGAAATCCTCGGATGAGTTGAACTTGTAGTGTAATTCTTAAGAAAATCGTCTATCATGCTGTGATCAGCCACCGATCAATTAGAGGAAATCAACTATGGGCCGTCATAATCGTAAAAACAAGAATCCTTGCTACGGGTTTCAGAAACCAAACAAACGCCTACAACGACACGGGGAAATAATTTTTTTTGTTCTTTTTTTTATTTTTATTTGCAAAGGAAGACATGAGTTCTAAGACTCTTCCGACTTCACGAAGAAACAGCAACCGAAACTTACAGGGAGATCATCGATGTAATCGGTCAAGTGAGGGACGTCCTCGAGCACATAGCCGCCGTTCCCTTGGATGATCTTCGCGAAGGGTTTCCCCTCGAGATCCATCCCTCTCTTAGAAACGAGCTTAACCTCACCGTTCCTGGAGGGAGTCGGCGGGACCTTGACGGAGGAGGAGGGGGAAAGAGAGCTCCGTAGATCCGGCAGATGATTCCCGACAGCGCCGTTGGACTGACACTCCGCGCGGAATTTCTGAGGAAGCGCCACCTTAGAAGGCAAGTACTCCATCGAAGACGGCACCCTGAGTCTCCCGTTCACGCCGCAGCACGGAATGTGGAGGAGGACGCAGTCGTCAAATTCGAGATCCTCCCCCCGGAGAAATCATCATTTATATTTATATCCGTATGGGGAGCCAGAGGAGACCAGTTGCAGCATATGGAGGGAGAGAACTCGTGGCCGAACAGAAACCTCCAGGCAACGACCTGAAGCAGAGAAAATCCGTGCGGCGGACCCGTTTGTCGCCTCCCCGGTTCTGCCTGTTTTTGACGTCTGCTGACGGCGGCGGGAGGAGAAAGAAGGAGGCTTCGGTTCAGCCCCTTATTTCATTATATTTACTATTAATGCCACTAACTGTTTTTCCTCCCCCGGAGAAAACTGGGAGAGGGGACCGCCTCTCCTCCCGCCACGTACCCACATCGTCCCCGCATACGGGTGTTCAGGTCATTCATAATGTTCAAACGGGGGATTCTTCGGAGGGTGTTGTGGTCAATTACTTCTCCATGCCGGTCAAGTCAGGCCGGCTACGGCGGCGCATGGGAAGGGTCCACTGGAAAGTCCACAGAATCGACGGTGATGGCAAGTCGACCTTCCCGAGATCTCTCTAGACGTTCGGGGTGGGGCCAGCGTCGGCGAGTCTTAATGCACGGGACTTCACGTCAGAAAAAGGAGCCCCAACGCTCGTCGGAAGGGAACACGACTAGAAACTGACGCGTGTCCCTCCTTTGTCATTTACCGACTGGCGCCGTCGTTGTCCCGAATATTAAATTATTATTGGATTTATTTATGTGAATTATAATTCCGAATATTCTGGTATCTGTCAGAGTCTCAGGCCTCCAATGCCGGAGGATCTTCCACGCTGCTGCCCTCCAGCAGATACAGTGCGTAGCGAGAAAGATCGGACGTGTGCGTTCACCAACGAGAACGACGCGTTAAGGAGTGCTTCGGAAAATCGCATTCGGCTGAAACCGGGGCCCCGCGTTTGGAAGCGTCCTTCTCACATCCTATCGGATGATGACAGCTCACTTGTCTTTTCTCTCCGTACCATCAACCTCCGGCGCACTACTGACCAGCTTCCGTTGACTCCTGAGATTTCCTAATAGAGAGGGGAAAAGGAGGTAGTGTCAATGTCAAAAAATCAGGGGCACATCGGAAAATATGATTCTTTCAGTGTCTATCATGCAAATAGGCGAAATGATGGCGAGCTGTCTACTTAAAACAAACTTCAACTTAATACCCTGAACGTTTTAACATTGCAATAATAAACCTTATCTAGAGGCCCAAAATACGTTGACGGGGGTTTCTGAGGTCTCGAAACGTCACACAATATTTTCCCAGGGTACAGATGTAATAACCCATTAGCTTTAATTAATCTCCTCACGCATGTCCAGTGACGCACGCGCGAGGGGCATTTCTTTAAAATAAACTGAGTGGGGATCCTAGGAAAGTCTTCTGATGGCCTACTTTACTTTCGGCGCTTAAGCACGCGCGAGTGGCCCTGAACATAATCAAACGGTGACGTCATCCGGCAGGAGAGTAGATTTTTTAGTGGTTCTGTCGTAAATACTGACGTGGAAAATGCGACCAGCGGGCGGGCCCTGGCCCAGACTATGCCCGAGCCCAGCGGAAAGGCCCGTATCACACTACAGGCCCGGGCCCAAAGCTAGAGAGAGAGAGAGAGAGAGAGAGAGAGAGAGAGAGAGTGGTGCTTTGTAAAAGCAGTGCCTTTGATTTCGCCGGAGAGTACGTTGAAGCCCGTCGTCCTTCGTGGGCCGACTTTCGATTCGGGCCGAGCTCTTTTCTAGACTTACCTGGCCCGCTTTCAGACTACTAGTGTTGTTTATACATTTAATATAATATGCACCCTCGATAAAAAATATATATATTAATCAACGTATAAATCTAGAGAGAGAGAGAGAGAGAGATTGGACTATTTGATTGATTAGATTCTAGAGAGATTCTAGTCGTCACCGTCCTGGCTAATACGTTTCAGACCATAAGAATAAATTTATGCGACGAGGGACCTATCAGCAACAGATAAAAATATTATGGGTTTTTTAAAGAATCTGGGTTAGTCAAATGGTTGACCATGTGATGCCCGTTGCCGTCTTCTTCGTGCTGTCCGATACGTATCTGGGAAGCCCCGGCGTTGACGACAGTGAGTCTGATTCAGCCGTCGTGGGTCGGCACGGTTCGTCACGCGGACAAGCTACCAAATGGGCGACATTAAGTTGGGCCTTATGGGCCGATAATGGGCTTCAAAAGCCAGCATCCAAAATGGCACCACCAGAAGGATTACACGAACAAGCACTTTCTCCAAGGACTAGACACCACATGGAAAGGAGTTGACTTGAAGAGGGGCACAGCCCAAGTGCGGAGCCCACCACAAATTCCATGCAAAAGTCAACGTATCGAGTCATAAATTCCGAAATTACCCCCGGACGAGTCGTAAATTCAGACACCGTTCTTTTCTAATCTCGGTAATAAAGGTAGGAAAGTCGATCGTCAAACTTGGAAATCACTCGGTGGGCGGTGAATCCATGGTAGTAGTTCTCGCATCTGGCAAGAGAGACGTCGATCGCCTTCTTCAACATGGAATCTTCTTGATAGAACGACTGACTGATGAATTCACCAAAAGGCATCCACTGAGGGAAGAAAAAATTATAAATGAGTAAGAAAAGCTAATCAAAAGAGACTCGGGAGCAGAAATTTTAATCAGAATTTATAAAAATATTAACAAAAGGCATCCACTGAGGAAAGAAAATTTCCTAAATCAGTAAGAAAAGCTAATCAAGAGAGACTCGGCAGCAGAAATTTAATGAGAATTGAGAAAGGTATTACCAAAAGGCATCCACTGAGCGAAAAGAAAATCCTAAATTGGTAAGAAAAGCTAATCAAGAGAGACTCGGAAGCAGAAATTTAATGAGAATTTAGAAAAATATTACCCTTGCAGCTTGAATCTCCTTCTCGTCGATTTTGATCTCAGATGATATGGGCCGCAGCACACACATGAAGAACAGATCTGATTTCTCAAAGGCAACGAGGTGGGCATGCCTAAAAATGGAAAATTACGATAATACTACAAGATTAAATGAAACTTTATTTACACGTTTTGAAGCGAATAAAGTCATGAGAGAGCACCTGAAAAAATCATAGATGAGCGATCTATTCAGAGATGAGGTAATTCTTTGAAGAGGGTTTGAGTTTAATTTACCTGAAAGCAACCACTTCTAAGAATACGGTGTCTATCTGTTTAATAAAGAGGGAGGAGGATTAATTAGGAGGGGAAAAATCAGAGAAAAATCATCTCCAAACAAAAAAAAAAAAAAAAAAAAAGGAGAGAGAGAAGAAAGTTTCATCTTACACCAGTCTCTTCTTTCACTTCTCTTATTGCTCCAGAGTATATTTCCTCAGCCTAGAAAAAAAAAAATTGAAAAAGAAACAGAAGCTTTTCATTTTCATTAAACTATGAGATCCCAATCAAGGACAAAAATAGAAGATCGCTTAAAAAATATAGCCGTATGGTCGAGCACGGGTACCTTATCAATGAAGCCTGTTGGTAGTTTCCACAGTCCCGAGCACCTCCGTGGGCAAAGTTTCTCTTTGACAACAAGTACCTAAAAATTTGAAATAATGATAATAAATAAATTAACCTGTATGTCTTTCGTAGAACCCAAAAAATTAATTAGAACAATATTGAAACCACAATTATTATTTTATTTCTACCAATTATGTGGATATTTCTCATCCACTAAATGCAGGTCTTAGAAGGTCAACATTTGCTAAAAATGAAGCTAATTTGGTAAATATTTTGCTCCCAGGGGTTACGACCAAGCTGTAAAAAAAACGGCCATTAAATGAGCAGATATTTCATGCATAATCAAGACTGATCTAATTTATAGATTATAGTACTTTTTACTCATTAAAAAAAAGTCAAGACGCTTCTTCCTCTGAAACCGATACCTCTCTGTTTTCATTCATGACGAATGCCCCTACGCCAACTTGATGTGACGCAGTCGCAGGGAGCATGCAGGCTCCTCCTGGGATCCAGCACGTCAGCATAACATATCCGGGCTCAGCGTGGTGGTAATTGAAGCCTTCCTAAATGAATTTGGGCACAAAATTTTAAAAATTGTACAAAAATGGTGCTTTGACTTGTGACGAAAAGTGCAAATTTAAGTGCACAAATATAAACTTGATCATTACTACGGAATCTCCAAGGAGTTTTTAACAGAAAAAATTATTTCAGACGAATATCCCGCAAGAAAGACTCTTTACTAGTCAATATATTGGCTCATTGGTCTATAGACTTTGTGAGTTCTCAGAAAGCATGACTTTCTCTCTGGGTATCCATTCAATTCTCTTGTCACGTTGGATAAAGACCATAATATTTCAGCTGTATTTCAACCTTTGGAAAAGCATAACTTCGTCCAATTCTCTCATACAAAAGGAAAGAACTACCTTTATAGCAACTGGGACAAGATCAGCTCGTTTTTCTGGTAACTTGAGCCATATGCCCCTTTTCCCCTATATTTTCACACCAGGTAGAGAATATTATCCAATCAATCGGGGGAGAACAACGTCGCAGAATATCATCACTCTCAGTCCTTCAGAAAAAAGGAGATCTATAAACCTACCTTTGATTTCCAGAGAGAAAGAGAAGACTGAAGGGCGGCAGAAAATGCATTAGCGCTCGATGGCAAGCCCTCATGGTCTATTATGGCCCCACCATATTCATCTTCATATGCATCGAGTATCTCCTGGGTTGTGTTGAAGGATGTAGTAGGGGAGACGACGTTAACTCCTTTCTTCGGGAACTTGTTGCCATTGACAAGTAAATTTCGATAAACCAGAGAAAAAGAAGTTGATCTTCCTTTGAGGATAGTGGATATGGAACCTGGATTGTAGATGAGAAATCAGTGACCAAGATAAAGAAAAGGGGATCGTTTTTTTAGTAGAATCAATTTTAATGCATGTCTCATATCCGTTTTATGACGGCAAGAAGGAACCAAATGATATAAAAATATAGAAAAGGTGAACCATGCCATGTTTCAGACAACTAATCCATATCATCGCTGCTTTCTAATTCATAAAACGGGAGCACTAGTGAATCCAATATTGTTCACTAATTAGGAATCAGGGAGTCATGTTCAAGGATTTACAAATGACAGTATGAAGAGGAACTCTGAGAGAATGTATCTGCCTGTCTGGATTGCATCACGATCTTCAGAAATTATCTAGAACTCCCATCTATCTCTAAAGTCAAAGGCACGTTGAATTTAAGAAGAACAATTGGGTGTCACAGTCCTCGTGATATTCCATGATAGTTAGCTGAAAAAACGTCCAGCTCCTTGTGGGTAATTCATATGATGGGCTTCACCATAATATTCTTAATCACGAGATAAATAAAATCTCTTGAAAATGCACCTCACCGTTGCTCGGATGCGCAGGGGTATGACATCCTAAATCAGAGCACAAGTTTTTACACAAATTTGCCTTATTTTATGGGTTAGAAGTTATTGAAACCAGTAGCATATGTAGATGATGATTTCATCTTAGAATTCGAATTCAATTGCAATATCTGAAACTCGAAGCAAGTCAGAAAGAGATATTGGACTATCCAAAAGAAAAACACAATATATACCTCTATCCTCCCTCGTGAAAGTTGAGATCCTTCCATTCACGGGCCCTGGTGACAAACGATAATTATAGAAACCCATCAATGGCCCTGTGGTCAACGCCATTGTCTTGTTGCTCACAGATTGAGGAAAGTGAAGAGGCAGGATACATCGTGGAGGACTTCTGGCGATATTTATATGACTACATAAGGGCAATGGAAATAGGTGGAGAGAAAAGCATCTGCCCTCTTCCCCTTGCAAATAGAACAACTGAGAAGGTAGCTTCTCTGATGACGATGGCATCGAGAATATTACTAACGCAATATCAATAATAAATAGCCTGGATACTCGATCAGCAGAGATCTTGATACACTTGAAGCTTATCGTCTTCGAACATTGCTCTTCTGACTTCTCATCCGCAAATTGCCTGAATATGGGAAGATTTCCGTGGCCATTGGGGATGACTGGTGCCATGGCCAATTTGACGGGAACAGGAACAGGAACAGGAACAGGAACAGATGCTTCCACGGTTCGGACGTAGGAGAGCACCATACCAGTGGATTCGAACAGAAAGGCATCCAAGATATCAGGCGATTTCGGCCATGATCTCTCGATTGCCCCCCATCCCTCCTATTCTACGTGTCAGCCTTCTACAGGCAGACGGAGACCTCTGGGGCGAGGGGAGAAGACCTTGAAACTCCTGGCCAGGCATCGCCGGGGGTGCTCCGGCGACGATTCCCACTTCGAGCACTGGATCGAGCGGAGAATTGTGCGCTCCAGCATTATGCTCCCCCCTAGGGAAGGCATCGGAGAACCCGATTCAGCCTAAAGAAATTCCTTCGGGATTCGGAGACGAAACCCACCAGGGATCGAGGAGTGGAGGGGAGATCTTACCAGCTTATGAATCGATTACAAGAGAAAAAAGCACGGTTAAAGGGATAATTGTACTTTGCTATAAATAAATTATCCAGTGGTGATTTCGTTTTAGGCCAAAATTAACATAATAGATTCTTATAAAAGCCTAAAAATTTCGTTAATTCATATTCGTTTCATTCTCGATGCTATTAACTTAATTAAATATAGTCGAGGAGTAAGATATTGCTAATGTACTAATCTCCCTTTGTCTTTATTGAAAAGTCAATAATACCCTCATGAGATTCTCATATGTGAGGGTTAAAAGGGACATTCCTCGGAAACCTTCTCGTCGTGGAGGGTTTTGGAGAAGGAGAAACATAACGGTTAGCTTTCTTCCGGCAGTTCCCCGGGCTCGTCGACAAGTTTCGGCCGGCGGCAGGGGTTGCCGGTGGCGGTCTCTCCTCATCTTCTCCTTCTTGTTATTCTGCTGCTACGGCGGCTTTCACCGGCAGCTTCTTCTTCCGGTGGAGCTTGTGGCCGTGTCTCCCCCTTCTGTTTCTTCTTCTTCTTCCGTCGGTGGCCTCTGCTTCTTCTGGTTCCGGCATCGCTGCTGCCTCTTCATCCAGTGGAGCTTTTTAACGGATCTCCTCTTCGTCGGTCTCTTCCTATTCCGTCACCGGAGGTCCTGGATGGCTCAGAGGAGGGCGATGCAACTGCCTCCTCCTTTGCTCAGCACTGAGTTATAGATGATGTCGAATGAGCCTTCCGGGAATCCCTTCCAGAGGACCGCCTCCTCCTTCTTCTCTCTCTCTCTGTCGCGCGCGTGCGCGCCTTCCGATTATGATTTCAATACCCGCAATGGGTTACTGCCATTTTGACAAATGGTGATATCTTCTGATGAACATAGGCAGCAAGTGTGCACTCTCTCGCTGTTCTAAACTCATAGATCGCTGCTTCTCCCTGCAGTCTCTGGTGAGCGCTGAATCCGTGCACGCAACGCTGATCAAGGTTGGTTTCCACCGCCACACCTTTGTCGGCAACCGCCTCATCGCCCTTTACTCCAAGCTCGGTGCCGTAAGCTCCTGTCCAAAACTGTTCCACGATGTGGCAGACAAGAACATGTACACTTGGAATATCTTACTCGCAGCCTTCTCAAAGAACGGAGAGATGGAGAGAGCCCTCCAACTGTTCGATTCAATGCCTGAAAGGGACGTAATAACCTGGAACTCGATGATCTCCGGTTACATGGCAGTGGGCCTCGCGGAAAATGCCATTGGAATTCTGCGGAGTATGCAGGAGCTCGGTGTGAGACCCAGCGGATTCACTCTCTCCGTTGCTGCATCCTCTGTTTCCACGGTCCATCAGGCGAAACAGATCCATGGATGCGCTATCCGGCGTGGCTTTACGAATGTTGTTCTCGGAAATGCACTCATTGACATGTATGGGAGGCTCAGAGTCGTGGGTTATGCTCTTGGTGTGTTTTTCTCAATGAGAGAGCACGATATAATATCTTGGAATGAACTGATTTTGTCTCTGGAGAGATCAGGATTCATGAACTACTCACTGGGCTTCTTCAAATCAATCTGGCATGGTGGGCTCCTCCCTGATCAATTCACCTTGTCGACTGTGATGAATATCTGTGCCGACCAGAGAGTTATGAATTTGGGTGAGCAAATCTTCGTCCTGTGCATCAAGCTGGGTTACCTTGCAAATTCTATAGTTTCGAGCAGCATCATCGACATGTATTCGCACTGTGGGAGATTAGATTGTTCCGTTAGATTCTTCATGGAGCTGGTGGAACGGGATTCAGCTGTCTGCAACTCGATGATTTCAAGTTATGCCAGAAGTGGGTCTCCAGAGGATGCCCAGAGGTTGGTGATGATGGCAATGAGGGAGGGCCTCAGGCCGACAGAATTCACCTTTGCGATCATACTGAACACCATTTCTCCTTTTGCCTCGATTCATCTTTTCACTCAAATCCACTCTCTGGTTCTCAAGTCAGGTATGGAGATGGACGCAGTCGTCGCTAGCTCACTTCTGAGCCTGTATGCAGAGTGGGGTGCCATTGAATCTGCTGTGAAGGTTTTCTCCGTGGTGACCAGGAGAGACCTGATCTGCTGGAACTCCATGATAACCGGTTTTGCTGAGAATGGCTGCGGCGAGGAAGCCCTGAGAGTCTTCGAGGAGATGCTAGAGGTAGGTGCTCGGCCAGACCGGATTACTCTAACCGGGGTCCTGAAAGCCTGCGGTCTTGCTGGGCTCGTCGAAGAAGGAGCTCTGGTTTTCTCATCCATGGAGAAAAAATATGGAGTTAAACCAGAAACCGAGCACTATGCTTGCATGGTGGACATGTTCAGCCGGGCAGGGATGCTGAGAGAGGCGATGGATCTCGTAGAGATGATGCCCCAGAGCCCCTTGGCTTGCATTATCCTCCTAGAAGCTTGTAACATCGCGGGTAACTTCAAATGTATGGAGGCAGCTGCTCAGAGGGCCGTCGAGTTGCAGGCTATCTCGTCACTGCCATACTCTGTTCTGGCTCATATCTATGGCGCGAGGGGAAGGTGGGAGAGTATGGCTCGTGTGTGGAAGTCTATGAGAGAGAGGGGTGTGAAGAAGGAGACTGGGTGCAGCTCGATTGCCATCAGGAGCGAAGTCTTCATGTTTAGGGCTGATCAGGTGCTGTACTGCGGAGGTGAATCTCTGTACTCGATCTTGAGACTGCTGGAGACCCGAGGAACGGATTGGCCATGAGAGATCTTCCCCAAGCTCCAATTTTGGGAGATCTAGTAGAAGTTTGAGGTAAGAAGCAAACATATTAGAGAGATATAATTCTTCAAAAATAAAAGAGAAAAAAACATTATAACTAATCTTAATGGCATCAAACTATTTCTTTCATTGCTTGATTACCTGATTATTTCATTCTTTTCTTCTTTTTTTAATGAGATAGAGTAAACCCTGACCAGGGTCAGGCACCCTGGGGCTCACCCTGTGAACCGGCTACATCCTCCTGCCCGGTAATCCTCTTTCCCTTCTCCTCAGTGCATCCATTTTCTCCATCTGGAAGAGATTTCTATAGTTGCGGTTGTAGTTCATCTTATTTGAGGCGAGGGATGATGGAAATTCATCTATTTTTATCTGGAAAGTATTTATTTTCCTCGATCAAATGGATGGTCCGTGCATGAATAACGCACATCTCATTTTTCGGTCCTTGGGAATGCTCCTGAAAGGAATCGATTGAATCCCCATCAGATCCCACCTGCAGAGAGAGAGAGAGAGGTCTCCGTCGCCAAAACAAGGACTCCGGATCGGCAGAACCGCGTGGTAATTACGCCGAAACACGGTAAAATTGGTCCCTGAAATCCCTTCTTTCATCATAGCATTAGAAAGTCAAATATTTACATTCACAGCTCGAGATGGGATCCCGCCATCCACGGAGACGGGGAGGAAGGAAGCAGATCTCACATCGACGAGGCATCTTATTGAAGATCAGGAACAGGAAGCAGATCAGACGCCCTTCCCGTCCACTCCTGCTTCCTCTTCTTCCGGATCTTCAAAGTTAGGGTCCTTGTCGTCCATGGCCCCCTTCGCCATCATCAGCACGGCGTCTTCCTCCCCGCCGGCGTACAGCCGGTCGCCGGACCACGTGAATTTGCCGCCGCAGCCGCCCTTCTTCGGTGCGCCGCTCATGCCGGTGGCCGATCGCCGCTCCTTCCGAACGTCCTGCCCCGGCCTGGTGTGGACCTTCGCCACCTTCTTGCTCTGACTCTCCATGCTGATAAAGCTCTGTGAAGCTCTGTGAAGCTCTGAGACTAGGCGTCGTTTACTGTGCCGTCCTCATTTTTATATATGTCAGACTTGCCATGTTCTGCTGCTCCTGGGGAACAAACATCAACCGAGTAAAACAGCACTAGGCTCGCTCTTTGAAGTCTGCGGGAGGCCAATCAGATTCTTGGTCATCTTATTCTTGCGGAACATCACACTTTTGATATTTTTCTCCGAGCGACAGCTTAGGGCCTAAAGGATAAGTATGCTGATGTGGGCCCCAAGAACCGGACAGCCGTTTTACTCGCCGCCGTCCCCCTTGTCGGTAATCCGGAATCGATTTCTTTCAGCGGCCCGGCCCATTTTGGCAACGTTTATGGGCCATATCCGCGGGCCTCAAGACCGGCCCATTTACATCGCCTAAACCCTCTATAATTCGGAAGGTGACGTGGAGGAAAGATGAAGATATAGCGAAGCCCGATACGCCGTGTCGGATGATGACATGCTGGCAATTTCGATCAACCAAATCTTTTTATAGCGCGACGTCATAATCTACAAAGCTACTCATCACCGTCCGATCAGTAGGCTCCACGATTTGGATGGCACGCTGTCAGTCTCGACCAACCAAAGCTCTCTTCTTTCTTTAGTGCCACGTCACAGTACACAAAATACTCATCCGTTCGATCAGTGAGGTCCCCCCGTTTGGATCCACCAGACAGTATGCATCCGCCGACATTCCCAGCTGGGTTGGCGTCGCAGTGCAGATGTTTTTGCTTGTGGGGCCCGCGCAAGGGAATCGACAGATGGACCCCACTTTGACCGGGGTAAAATGGTAAAATGGCGCTGCACGTAATCTGTTGTCCCTCCAACCAGATTTGATAAAATCCCGTGGAGTCCGCTTCTCTCTTGCTTCACTCCCTCTGTGCCACCCTGCAGGTCCGTACTTCTCTCCGCGCCACCTTCTCGAATTTCGGGCCAGAGGGGCAGATGAGTGAGGGGCGGTGATGGTAATGGCGCAGACCGATGAATAGATAGGGAGAGGCGGGGTGGGAGTGGAGCTGAGGAAGAGTGTAGCATTGTGGGAAGATGGAGCTGGTTCGTCCTGCGGCGATTGTTCTTCTCCTCCTGTGCTTCTCAGCAGGTCTGCCCCGAGCATTTTTGTTTCTGCAACTTGGTTTCTTTGTTATATTACTCTGTTTAGGGAAGTTCTTCATCTCAGATTTGTAAATGTCGAAAAACGTGGACGAAGGTTGGGAGAGAGAATGCATGAGAGCCTATTCCAATTTGTGTGGTTTTTTTTTGCTCTGCTTCTTCTTACGGGGATCCCTTTCTAGCTACGAGTTCCCCTTTTTCTCTTCTTCTTTGCTTTCTGTTGTTCCTTCTGGTTCCGGCATATACGGTGCTTCAATCTGCACTGACGCCACGTCACTCTATCTCTGCCTCTTGTGTTGAGGACTTGGCTTCGAATACTTGCGGCGTCTACCATGGTCCCTATGCCTACTGTGGCTGTATTCAATACTTGTATCTTGGAGCATAATCTCTTGCTATGGTTTTTATCCCCTTTTCTTGGTAATATATTTCCGTTTATTTCTTCTCTTTCCACTATAGAATGAAGTGGTAGAGGTTATTGCGATTGTTTTGGCCTTTTTGAAAGGAGCCGGACCATTTATTTGAAGGAAATACTTAGGACATAGCATAGTTGGTTCCGTTTTCGTTTCTGTTTCGAAATCAGTTAGTTCTCACGCTGCAAATCCTATCACAGAACTCTGCTGTGGGAGCAAAATCGGTGTCTGCTATGGTCGAAACGCTGATGACCTTCCGACGCCTGACAAGGTTGCTCAGCTCGTTAAGCTGCATTCCATAAAGTATGTGAGGATATATGACTCCAACATTCAAGTTCTCAAGGCGTTTGCCAACACAGACGTGGAGCTTATGATTGGCGTGTCGAACCTGGACTTGTTGGCCTTTTCCCAACACCAATCTAATGTCGACACATGGGTCAAGAACAGCATCCTCCCATATTACCCTGCGACCAAGATTACGTACATTACTGTGGGATCTGAAGTCACCGAAAGCCCTGGTAATGTCTCTGCAATGGTTGTCCCTGCAATGGTTAATGTTCAAGCAGCTCTGAAGAAGGTGGGTCTTCACAGTAGAATCAAAGTATCAAGTACTCATTCACTTAGAATATTATATCGGTCTTTTCCACCATCAGCTGGAGCGTTCAACAGCAAATATGCCTACTTCTTAAAGCCTATGCTGGATTTTCTTGTGGAGAACGAATCGCCATTCATGGTGGATATATACCCATATTATGCATATCGAGATTCCCTGTCCAATGTCTCTCTTGACTATGCTTTATTCCGTCCATCTTCTTCTGAAGTAATCGACCCCAACACTGGTTTGGTATACACAAATATGTTTGATGCGCAGCTTGACTCTCTGTATTTTGCACTGATGGGACTCAACTACAAGACGCTGAAGATCATGGTTACTGAATCAGGGTGGCCTAGTAAAGGTTCTGTGAAGGAGACTGTTGCTACCCCCGATAATGCCCAGACTTATAACACCAATTTGATCCGGCATGTTATTAATAACACGGGGACTCCTGCAAAGCCCGGTGAGGAGACTGATGTTTACATATTTTCGTTGTTCAATGAAAACAGGAAACCCGGATTGGAATCTGAAAGAAACTGGGGCCTCTTTTTCCCTGACCAGACTAGTGTATACAGTCTTGATTTAACGGGTAGAGGGAATGTTGATATAATTACTGGTGCAAATATTACTAGTTCAAACGGAACGTGGTGCATTGCATCCAGTACTGCTAAGGAATCGGACCTGCAGAGTGCCTTGGATTGGGCTTGTGGCTCTGGGAACGTTGACTGTTCTGCTATTCAGCCGAGCCAGCCGTGCTTTCAACCAGATACTTTGGTCTCCCATGCATCATATGCATTCAACAGCTATTTCCAGCAGAATGGAGCGACAGATGTGGTCTGTAGTTTTGGAGGCTCAGGCCTGAAAACCACCAAGAACCCTAGTAAGTATGCTTTTCATTTCCATCTTTTATTAGTTACTCGCTATTCAAATGGTGCGCTCTTTCCAGAGAAAAAACAGTACCTTCCCTAGACCTTTCATTATCCGAATTAATGTAAAACTATCTAGAAACGATGCGATTTGCAGGTTTTTTCTTTTTATTCTGAGATTCAGTATCCTCGATAAATTGATATTCGGAAAGTGGATGCTTCCAGGATTTGCAGATTTGGCGTCTGTCTACCCAATAGACACGTCAGGGAAGGGAAGGATGGATTATATGCTCGTTTTTCACTACTTTAACATAAACTGTGAATTGTTACCCGGATTAGACAGATATGATGGTTCGCATGATTCAATTCCCTTCTGCAGTTTCTAGATTTGCAGTATTTTCATCGATATACTGCATTGCCAATTCAGCATAGGATATGGAATAATTGTTCTTCAGTAGTGATCTGTGGTTACTCCGGAAACATTATTGCATAGTTTCATTTGAGCGGACAATGCCCAAACGAGCTACCACTTTTCCTAAAATCTTTTATGAGTAGAAAGAGAATTGTGCTTAGTTAACTCCCCAAATCTTATGTCACAATAGAAGATATTCTAGCCCGTTTTCTCTGGATAACAAGACTAATCGTCTCATTCTCACATCCAAAACCTACCATTCCCTGTTAATTACTAAACTGAATGAGACGAAAGCTTCCAGCTCTTCCCCTCCAATGCTCCTATTAAACTAGAAATACTCCCAGGTTAAGTACGCAAGGATTATCTGACCACCATGCTCATCTCTGTGCAGGTTATGATCAATGCATGTACCTGACATCTGGGTAAGTCCGCCCTCCATGCTCGCCGCCCCGTGATCTCAATTCAGAAACAAACACATTCTCTGACCCGATCTCTCTGGCTTCTGTCTACATCAGGAGCAAATCAAGCAGCGCCAACTCCAGCGCCATGGCCGAATCTTCCACCTCTACCAGGGTCCTCCACTCGGCCCAGGATCCGTGGGCTCTGCTCCTGATGGCGGCCTCCTTCCTCCTCGCGCTCATCAGCTGAGCCTAGAGAAAGAAACCATGGTTTGTTTATCTGCCAATTCGGGTACTATTTTTAGTTCATGTTCTTGATCGAGAGTGGGCCCGGAAGTAGGAAGAGCTCCTCAAGGGGCGCGGTGTGTATTCGCATACACATTTTTGGTGGACGAATGTGTTGATATTCCTGTCTGTTAATCGTATGCGAGTGATCAATTATTCTCCTTCATTCTCTGATCTCTAGTGCGGATTATCGTGGGCCTGTGTTGTTAGGGGTGTTATGGGCCGTGGTGTATGGGCTTTTTACTCAGCCCCATTATCGGTCCTATGTGGCATGATAGATTTAATGATTTTTAACGCCTTTTTTTTTGTTTTTGGGTCCGTCGTTATTAGTTTTAATAATTATTTGGAGAAATCTATGAAGGGGATCAATAATGGCCCATTAAGAATCAAACTTTAAGCCCGTCGGCGGCGGTGGGTGCAATTAGCCACGTGGAAGCTCGCTGAAGCCCAAAAACAGGGCGAATAAGCTTCCAGAGTCGGGCCCACTTTTTGACGAATTGTGGGTGGATGATTCAAAAGGGTACGTTTCAAATTATACTACTTTGAGGCAATAAAATATCATATTCAGATGATAATGGGTCAAGGAGAAAAATGATCGGAGGGAGGAAGAGATCCGAGCCCCTTCTTCCTACCCTTATTTGGTGCGTATAAATATCAGATGCTCGGAGGGGAGGGGGAGGGGGTGAAGGTGGGAGGTGGAGAAGCGGTCGCAGGGCAAGAGTGGGAAAGAGGGAGACGAAGGAGAAGAGAGAGAGAGAGAGGCGAAGATGTCTTGGCAGACTTACGTCGACGACCATCTCATGTGCGATGTGGGCGAGGGCCACGCCCTCACCGCCGCAGCAATCCTCGGCCACGACGGTAGCGTCTGGGCCCAGAGCGAGTCCTTCCCCCAGGTATCGCGTTTTCTTCTCTTCCCCCCATCTCGGTTGCTGACCTGAGGCTCTTTGGACGCGGTTGTTGGCGGCTGGGAAGATTCGTGATGGACGGAAGGGGGGGGGCATGATCAGTGCGGTTCACCTCCCGCGGAATTGTTCTTCGTTGCGCTTCCTGTGATGTTACCGAGCCGGAACGTGATCGATCAATTGGATCTGGGAATTTATGTCGATTTCTGCTTGATTTGGTTGCCATCGGGATATAATTGTTAGCTCTGTCTCGACCGAATGATCCGTCTTCCTTCCTCACTGCATCGCTCTACATAGCAGTTTAATTCCTTGTCCTTGTCCTCTTTTACATTCTTCCTCGCCGTATTGCTCCATTTGCTGTCTAGGACGCGTCTTTCGCTACCCGTTCTTTTCTTTAAGCTCATGTTTTGATTTTTGGGGTGTTCTTGTTTCCTTTAAATGCATTACGTGCGTATCTGGACTTTTCTGTGTCCAGACTCAGAAATCCCTGAATGTTATGATGCGGTGTATGCTAGCTTCCTCTAATTTGAGGATCCACTAGGATTCCTCAATTTTATCATTGGATGTAATAAATAGGGTTTTAGTTATGATGTACGTGCTTATTGTTGGTATTTTTGTTCTTCTGTTCATGAGTACATATTTACTCTGCATGTGCGTTTCAGGTATTTTAAATAATCTCATGTTATGGGTAAGTTCACAATAGTTTTGAGTTGCGTTGGATGCACGGACTTCTAGATCTTCATGATTAAAGAACTACACTACAAATAGCGGTTGTAAATGGAACGGACCTTTTCTTTTGATCAACATATTTACCAGGATGAGTGATTAGCTTGCTGTTCTAAGTTATCTTTCTGTCCATTTAGGGGAATAGAATTCGTGTGCTTCTTTGCTTGCACACTCTAATCATGCTATGCTACATAAATATTATGCGCCTTGGTTTCTTAGACTTTTTCTCCTTTCGGAACGGTAAAGTGCTCTAGGAATTAGCAATGATGTTCTTTGTTATTTTCTCTCGCCCTTTAATTTTCTTTGCATTTCCTTTTGTTTGCCAACCTTTTTTTTTGTTGCATAAAGCCGTTAATTACCTAGATCTTCTGCACGTTCATTCACATACACTAACTGCCTCGTGTTAGTAGTTTCCAGTATCATCTAGTTCTACTAAAGATATTATTTTCTTTCTCTCACCTATGCAGCTTAAACCTGAGGAAATCTCGGGTATCATAGCCGATTTTGATGAACCAGGCCACCTTGCTCCTACTGGCTTATTTCTCGGAGGGATTAAATATATGGTGATTCAAGGAGAGCCCGGTGCAGTGATTCGTGGAAAGAAGGTGATTTTACTCATCTCTCGACTATTTAATCCGTAGTTCTTTCCCCCTCTGCACAAAACTCCCTGAAATGGTTCATGAGAAAAAGGAAACCTGGAGCTTCCAGACCACGATAGATTCATACTGATTTATTTGATAGATGATAATGTACATTATTTTCTGCCCTTTATGTTTGTTATCTTCGTTGGGCTATCATTATGTTACTTAAAATGGAAAGTGGTACCATTTTCCCCAGCATTTGAGGTAGAATCCACCATTAAAATCAACACTTTAGTGTAATCACTTTGTTTTTCTGACCATGTCATTAATTTCTCTTTTATGCCCTGCCTACCCTCAGTACGTAAATGGGAGCTGTTCTAAAGTTTGACCTAGGATTTCTAAAGTTGACATGAATTCCCCGGCCTATCAGTAATGTTGGAGTTGACCCTTAATGTTTGTTATCTTCCTTGACCTATCATTATCTTACTTAGAATGGAAAGTGGCACTATTTTCCCCAGCATTTGAGGTAGAACCCACCATTAAAATCAATAATTTAGTGTGATCAATTTGTCTTTTTGACCATATCATTAATTTCTCTGTGATGCCCTGCATACCCTCAGTACGTAAATGGGAGCTGTTCTAAAGTTTAACCTAGAATTTCTAAAGTTGACATGGGTCCCCCCGGTTTCCACAGGATTCGTACCACTTGCCCTGATTTATTCCACAGAGCAAGTTGGCCCCATTTCACATCAGTAATCTCTAGTGAGATTTTCACCGATTCTGAGATATTTTTTGACCATCTCCTTTGTGAAATCTACGATCCCCGTGGAGCCGTCGCGCTGACCTGTTATGTTCCCATTTTGGGTAATTTTTTGTTGACCACAGTTTCACTCTCGCCTCTACTTTCCAGGGTTCCGGCGGGGTCACCATCAAGAAGACTGGGATGGCTCTGGTATTTGGTATCTACGACGAGCCTGTGACTGCTGGCCAGTGCAACATGGTCGTCGAGAGGCTGGGGGATTACCTCGTTGACCAGGGGATGTAGACTGCCACCTGGCGTGTGGGTTCCACCTCTCTTCTATCTATTTTTTTTCTCCCTGGAATGCGTGGCATCTTGGTTTCCCCTAAAAGATCTCTCCTTTTTCCCGCGGTTTTGGGCAAGTCCCATGGTTCTATAATTGGCATTTATTGCCATCTTTCTGGTCAAATGTCTGTGTGAACTTGTTGGTTGACCATGCTCTGTGTGACAGGGGCGGTTGAGGATCTCGTCTCAATAATTATTAGTGGGCTTTCAGGCTGGGCCCACGGCATCTCGCCTTTTGAGCCTGGAAGCCAGCTGGAAGGAAATAAAGCCCACCAGGTTAAAGACACGTGGAAGCATCTGATTGGCCCGCCCGGAAATACATCCTTGAGAACCAAAGCCAGGGGATTAGACAATTTATAGCCGTTCAGCTTTCCCTCCATCCAACGATCATGGAGACACGACCCTGCTTCGTATCCTATTGGATCGTCTCAGAGGAGTCAACGCTGTTGTCACCTCGCCATCCTGCTTCATAAGAGGATCAGTCAGCCCTCGGTTAGGAATTCGGCCGATGGGTTTATCCCAAGTTTGTGATTTGACTAGGAATTGGTTATTAATGACGGAAAAAATAAACAATTTTCATACTTAAGATGTGCGATTCGATAACTTTTTCTGCTCACCTTCGGATCTGATCGTCTTCGTGGGGTTGACTCGGCGGTGGAAAACTCCGATCGGGGTTGACCATTTTCTTCACCCGAGGGGAAACTGATCCTCCAAGAAGGCTGTGGATTCCCTCTGATCAAGCTCTTGGCTGATGAAGAGCCCTCGGTTTTGGATAGTCCAACCTCTTCGAGAGAGAACTCTCCGAGCAATTCAACTATCGGGGGATTGGTTTTATATATCCCCTTGGAATCATCAGCGACCGTCGAAGAACCAGACAGCTTTTCCTCGATAGATTCAAACGGTGGCTCAGCTCCTCTCCCTGGGGAATCTTCCTCCTTGGTTGCTGTTCTTATCGTCCAGAGACTAAAGAGCTTGAAAATTATGGAGGCTGCAAGGGTTAATGCCGTGGATAGTCCTGCAACCGAGTTCATCTCGCGGAAACTGAGAAGATTAGCACCCTGCGCTCCTGCCATCGGTTTCTCGATAACTTGTTCAGAAGATCCATCTTCTTCTTCCTGATCATGAGAAGGTCCGGCAGGACTGACAGCCAGATCGGCTTCCGAGCTCTCACGATCAGCCGCCAATCTTCTCCTGTATTCTGCTTCCACGTCTTCAGTTTCGGTTTCATCTCTCGACTCCATGGAGTTTGATTTATCTGCCTCAACCGACAGATCAATGGCTCCTTGTGAGGCACGTTTGCCCTCGGACTGCAGTTTTCGACCTACATATTCGTCAGATTTCTCAGGATGATCCAATTTTGAATGATTTTTTCCATTTTCCTCAGCTGTCGGTCCATTCGAGTTGGAAGAATTCATGTCGCGTCCAAAATTCACCATATTCGATTCGAACTTCCTCACAGTGCCATGGAGAGCATCTTGAATCTTCAAGTCTTGGGAAGAAGATGTCGTGGACGAGGAATTCATGGAAGAAATGTATCCCGATACGGATAACAGAATCCCCAGTAGAAGAGGGATTTTCCATAACAGATGACAATACGATGCTCCCTCTTCTTCTCCAACATCATCTTCTTCTAAAATGTCGATGTCATGTTCTTCTTCTACATCCACACTGTCAAGGGTTTCCAACTCTGATTCCTCTCTCTGTTTCAGAGGAGGACGAGGATCCGAAGACGTTGCCTCGTTTCTTTCACCTTCGATCTCTACCAACAGACTCGAATCGACGCTGGAACTACCTACCACGCCATCTGACTCCCTCTCTCTGCGATTGTAAATCTCCCGAACCCGATCTGGATTGTACCGGAGGAACTGCGGCCTGGGGGACAGATAATTTACCAACGGATCGTACGATCGGGGCTCAGAGGAGACCTCGGTTTCCTCTCCCAATCTATGAGTCCCGGAGGCACTCGGGGTCCCCTGAGGAGCCCCTCCGGCAAGATCAGAACTACGGTACGATCTCCCACCGGAGATTTCCGTGGCCATCCGCAGGACGATCTTCGGGACTTTCCTCGGATTCTCGTTACCAAAGCGAGCGTGAAGAGAGGAACGGAAGGAGGAAATACACACCTGAGCAACGGTGGAGAGCTCGTCGGAGGAGGAACCTCTCTCCAATCGTCGGAGTCTCGTCTCCTACGGCGACGGCGGCCCTCTGTTTCTTCTTGCGCAAAGATGGTGCAGGAGGAGAGATCTGGAGATGGGAATCGGGAGAAGTGGACCGTTAGTGGATTTATAAATTATAATAACTTAGTTTAAAATGACGATATTTACACAAGTCAAGATGGCCGAGTTGGTCTAAGGCGCCAGTTTCAGGTACTGGTCCGAAAGGGCATGGGTTCGAATCCCATTCTTGACATGTGCTCCCAACTTTTTTAACTGAATTAATTTTCTCATAATAAGCAATTTTATAAATGGGCCAGCGTTGTCCACAGTGTTGGGTCCGTTAACGTAACCCCTTGTATAGGCTGGGCCGATTATAATTTGGCCCAATAGCTTTTCAAGGCCTGCTTCGTGGTTCCTGAAAAAAAATGTGGCTTCTGGAAGGCCACATATATTATAAGGTAAGGTATAAGTTTTCTCGAGCTCTCCACCTTCGATGAGAACTCTGCTCTCGCCAGTGCTGCAATCTCTTCGCCGGCGATCTCCCTCCGTCGTCTCCATCCTCCGCCGCTCCATGACGGGCGGAGGAGCTTCGGGAGCCTTGTCTCTTCCGCCTCTCACTCCGGCGACCACTCGCGTCGGATGGATCGGCACAGGGGTCATGGGGCGCTACATGGCGGGGCATCTGATATCTGCTGGTTACGCCCTCACCGTCTTCAATCGGACACCCTCCAAGGCCCAGCCCCTCGTGGAGATGGGGGCGAAGCTCGCCGGCTCGCCGCGGGGCGTGGCGGAGGAGAGCGACGTCGTCTTCCTCATCGTCGGCTACCCCTCCGATGTTCGTCGCGTGGTGCTGGATCAAGATGAGGGAGTCCTCGGTGGCCTCTCTCCTGGATCTGTCGTCGTCGACATGACCACCAGTGATCCTTCCATGGCGGAGGAGATCTACGCCTCCGCGAGGTCTGCGTCGTGCCGCTCTGTGGACGCTCCTGTCTCCGGGGGGGACCGGGGGGCTCGCGACGGGAAGCTCTCGATCTTCGCCGGCGGGGACGAGTCCACCGTCCAATGGCTGTCGCCGCTGTTCCGGTGCTTGGGGACGGTGAACTACATGGGAGGACCTGGTGCTGGCCAGCGGGCCAAGCTAGGGAACCAGATCGCGATCGCTTCAACGATGGTCGGATTGGTGGAGGGGATGCTCTTCGCGCACAAGGCGGGGCTGGATGTGCGTCGGTGGATGGAAGCGATATCAACAGGGGCCGCTGGATCGAAGTCTCTGACGTTGTATGGGGAGAGGATTTTGCAGAGGGACATGGCGGCGGGATTCTTCGTTCACCACTTCGTAAAGGATCTCGGAATCTGCTTGAAAGAATGCCAATCCATGGGGTTAGCGCTGCCGGGGCTGGCTCTGGCGCAGCAGCTCTACTTGTCGCTGGTGGCCCACGGAGAGGGTAACTTGGGAACACAAGCGCTGATTCTGGCGATTGAAAGACTCAACAACACTCAACTCTGAGCTCTGGTATCTTTACCAATTGTGACAGCGACTTGGTGGTCTGTACGCGTACCAATCTCCTGAAATTCCTAATTCTGTGAGCTCGGTGATTTTCTTGAATGTACGCAACTTCAAATGGTCCTCCACACATTCATTCTGAACTGGGTGAATGCCCATGCTTCATGGGGGGTGTGTGTGTCTCCTTGATGAAGTTTTCTGCCCTATTCCACCGAATACAGTTGGGCCTCCTCCTCTCTTAGGGTTTACAGAGGAGCAAGGTGGAGCTGAAGATACTACTGTGTGCTCTGATGGTGGTTCTTTCATGCTTCCCCTGAAAGGGGAGGGAACTCCGCTCAGAGACGGTGGACTCTCTATGCCAAATTTTCATATTGTTCTAGCATTATCGAGATCAGACCAGACATGCAACTGGGCAGGAGCTATATCATCATTTTATACTCCAACGTCAGATCCATCTCAATTTATGATCATCTTCGTGGGTTTCTTGGCGATATTTCACTGTTCGGGCAGGATCTGCCATTGTTGCTTTCTTGAGGTGTTTACTGTTCTGTGACTCTCTCCGGTGGGATTCCATTAAGCTCGTTTCCCCCAACTTCTTCTTCTAGACAAGATCGAACCTTTGTTTCTTTGGTCCATGCTGCTTGCTTACTGCGAGTACTATAATAGTTCTAGAGATTATGCTCCGAATTGACTGCAAGAGAATTGATGCTCACAATTCAAGTCATTTTCCCGACTATTTATCTTCCGATTCTTGGATCTTTTCCTCTTGTGTCTTGAATCCTCTTCCATCCAATGCAATGCACAGGGGAGAAAAGTAAGAGGTTGACCGGGAAGACCTTCTGTCATCCATTGCTCGTCGGGGTCATCCTCGAAGTCAAGACCAGCTCGGGGCAGTCTGCAGGTAAGCATCCATCACCCGGGTAGTAAATGACGGCGTGAAATGGTATATAAAGCATGATTTTTTTTGTTGATTTATGCATGGTTATCAAAACCCATGAATCGATTTTATTCACTAGTATATGATTGTTCTTCGTGAATCATAGAATATTATGTGCCTGCTGTTCATCGGGTTCTAAATAATGCAGTTGACTTAGAATTATTGAGTGGGGTTTTTGGGCTGGCTGATGGATGGGCCATCAAAGCCACTTGAGCTGTTCATCTATGGGAGGGGCCATTCTCCCTAGGAAAAGATCTTCAGATTCTCTACATGGTCGTAGAGAGAGAGAGAGAGAAAGGGAGACAGTGGAATAGATATAGAGAGAGAAATATTAGACAATACACAAGGTCCTTCTCTACTACACCCCATATAGATCTCGTACAATTAGCATCTCCCCTTTGACCATAGCGGAAGAGGGCGGCGAGAAGGCGGCGGATCCCCCTGTTGGCCAGAGCCACGAGCTACCTCTGAGGGCATCTTGCAGGCAGTTCAAGGAGCTCGGAGCTCTTCAGAACCCGCAGTCTCTTCACAGAAGAAACAAACATCCTACGGCACACCATACATGCCTACCATCAGAACAGAACAGAACATAGAGAGAGAAAGAAGGGAGGGAAAGATAGAGATAGAGAGAGAGAGAAAGAGAGAGCTTACTCCCAAGGCACATCACCAACGAGCAGCTTGTCTCCCTCCTCGTCCTCGTACACGAGCGTGTACTCGCCGCTGCCGTCCAACAGCCCTGTGAGCGCCTCCTTCTTTTCTCTCTGAGCTGTGAATCACGCAGGAGGAAGAGGATTAAAAAGGTTATCGAGAACAAAAGGAAGATGGATCTTCCAGCTGCTGCTACTGCTACCTGCGAGGAGGCCTCCGAAGAGCTCGTCAATGGCGGAAGAGAGCTTCTGATAGCCGCCGCAGGCCTTCAGATCCACCTTCCTCCCGATGGGCACCCCGTCCATGTTGATCTTCACGAACAGACCCGCCTTCTCGGCGCTCACTGAACCGCCTGCCTCAGCCGCCGACGCCGGCCCCTTGCCGGCGAGGTTCCTCCTGAAGGCTCGGACGGGGGGCCACCCGACGACAGCAACGGCGGTGTCTCTGCAAAGTAAGAGAGCGAAGACCCGCCGTCAGTTTGCCGTCGAGGAGAGAGAGAGAGAGAAACCGGGTGGCGCTGACCTCTTCTGCGAGGTGGGCGGAGAAGTGACGACCCTGAGAAGAGAGAGAATGGGAGGAGGGTCCTCCGCCGGCGGCGGAGCCGCCGCCGGTGACCAGCTATCTCCACCGGGAGGGGCGAGACTCAGCTCCAGCCCACCCCCATTTGGGATCAAATCGAGCAGCTTCCGGTGGGAATCTTCACCCCGCATAGATCTCCCTGTATTCCCCTCCATCTCACCCAACCAACACGGAGAGAGAGAGAGAGTAACCCTAGCTTGGGGAGGTGGGAGGAGGATTAATGTCAGGGGGAGAGAAGAAAAGGGGGGACTTGGTGGGCATCTGTCCTCTGCTACGGCTGTTCAAACTAGGGAAGGAGGAGGGCCTCGGCGGAGAAGCCGCCGGAAGGGCTGATGGACTGGTCGAAGAACACACCCCCCCTCTCCACCCCCCAATTTCATTCGTTTATTCTGCACTGCCCTCTGCTTTCCCTTTCCCCCCTCCCCCTCCTTCCTGCTTATAATAACCGCAGAATCCACGAGAGAGAGAGTACAACTCTGCTGCGGACTGTGAAACAAGGAACTATTCACTCTCTCTCTCTCTCTCTCTCTGTGACTCAGGGCAGAGGCGTGCTAATGCGACAGTGGTAGAAGGGTGGGGAGAGAGAGAGAGAGAGAGAGAGAGAGAGAGATCAGTTGAAGGTCTTTTGGGTAAGGCGGGGAAGATACGGCCGATCCCTCGTGCTGAGAGAGGAGGAGGGGGAGTGGGAGAGGGAGAGGGGGGGAATCCGACAGAGGGAAATGTAGGGGGTGCGAGGCGTCAAATATGCGAAAGGTGGAGGGTTATTCTGAACCCCGGAACGCCGCTCTGTGTGGAGCTGTCGCCGGAAATGCGGGCGACGAAGGTCGCGTTCAGTGGGCGGAGTTCCTGTCCCCTTTTTGCCTTTTCGGATTGCTCTTTGGCGCACATGATGTGTTCGGTGTATGTTCTCACAGACCACCCCTTCTTCCGCATAAGACGCCTCTCACGCGAAAGCGCCCGCCACTGCACATCTGGCCCCCTCCCCCCTTCCACTCTCTCTCTCTCTCTCTCTAAAGGGAGGTGCCCATGTCGTCGCTGGGGCCGCCGTAGAGCAAAGAGACTGTGGGGAAGAATAATCTACTCCTTGCGTGCACTCCCCAGGAATTATGCGCCATGGCGACCAAGAACCTTCATAGCTGATGCTTCCAGAATTCATTATCAACAGGGCCCGTCCAGAGCAGAACTCAGAACTCCAAGGAAGATGAAGTGCCCAGAGGGATTCTCGTTTCTAGAGAGAGAAAGAGGGGGGGGAGATTTATTTACAGAGAGAAGCCAGGATGCGGCGAGGGGGGTGGAATGATCTACGGGCGTGAAGCACGGCCAGGTTATCCAGCAGGAGCACGTCCCCCTGCTGCCAAGGCACGGCAACGCACTCCTCTTCGAGTATTCTCAGGCAGTCGTCGATGATTTGAGGCGGCAATGGCGACCCGTCCCCGAAGGTGACGGCCTTCACGGGGTCGTTGCGGGAGTCCTTCCAGCCGGTGTAGGCGGCGACCATGCTGTTGAACCAGACCTTGCGCTCCCTCGAGGCGTCGACCTTCACGGCTGGGATTGGCCCCATTATTGTCTTCACCCCCTCCGCCGTCCATTCCAGCTTCATCCCCAGCCGCCTTGCCCTGCCGCATTCGGTGATCAATAAGTCAACCTCATGGCCCGCCTGGCTGGCACAGAACAAAAGAGACTGGGAAAAAGGGACTGAAAGACATGATGGGCAGGCATGAACCTCCTCACAGAGAGAGAGAGAAAGAGAGAGAGAGACAGAGGAGAGAGAGAAAAAACAAGTCTGCAAGTCTGCAACTTACCGGCTCGCCATCTTTTCAAGTAAGAAAAAATGGGTCCCTAGAGATCATCGCGCATCTGTAAGTAATGTGAAGTTTATCTTTTTTCGAAAAATGGTTTGGATTGTGAAAATTCTCCCCATTTCTTGCGAAAACTGGTTGCCGTCTGCCAACCATGCTCCAGACAAATACCCAAGAAGACCAAAAAAATTGGCTCAGAAGATCTAATATTTTCTGAAGGTTGCAGGTGATGGCAGCTTCATGATCCAGAACAGGGCATTAATCCAAACCAATCCTGGTATTGGACTCTTGTAAATTCCACATGATTCTTTCCCTTTTTTCTAACAGATATGAAATGGGTAAATAGCACAGGAAATAATTACAAGTGCTACTGGGCATCTTATAATTCCATGTAGGGGGCTCTCCCCTCTCCACCTGTGATTTTTTGTGCAGTCACAGGAAAACAGAAGGTATGTTTATCTGAAAAGAATGTCTGTCATGTCAAAACCAGTAATCCAAAAATGGCCGGCACATCGTCATTTTCCTCGGATCGGTTGCAGAGTAATACGGCAATTTTTTGAAACTAAATGATAATATCAGAATCCCGACAGACGAGGATGTTTGCCCGATGTTGCAGATGGTTGGTTCTTCCCTATCCTGGGATGCTGAAGGTGTTAGGTGCACGAAAGATGACGGGCATGTCACCACATGACCAGACGGCTGTCTGAACGTGGAAATTATAGCACAGAGAAAACATCATTAATGGCGGGCATCAGAGCAGACCTTTCCTCGGCAATATTTCTATCTTTGGTCAAGAATGTCGATTGCCAGCCGCGGCCTATTGGCGAAGAAGGATCGTCTTCGGCCCCCAGGACTCGGATGTAGATCAAGCCATATTTCTCAAGTCTGTCGACGAAGTCGGGGTACTTCTCTCTCATGCGTTCATAGATTCGATGGCTGAGGACGATGGGGGTTTCCCCGCCACTTCCCGGCTCTTCCTCGCAGAAGAAGAACAGCTTCGAGGGAAACTCCGGAACCTGCAGGAGGAGGAGACATCATCAAGTCGCCGGCAATTATGACCTAAAACCTGAGAATAATTTTCTGGACCCACCCGTGGAGGAGAGAGTGTTGCTCACCTGGGACATCTCATGGTGGAAGGGGATCTTCTGATCGGGCGGAGACTCGTTGGCGGTGAAAACCCTGCCGACGACGTTGGTCCGCGGCGCTGCGCCACCGACGTACGGCAGTTCCTCGTACCCGAACGCCTCCACCGCCTCGTTGAAATCCGACGCCGTCCGCACCGGGAAGCCCCTTAGTAGGATGGCTCCAGTCGACCGGAGCATCTCCTCCACCCGGAGCTTCTGCTCCCTTACCGCCTCCGTGAATCTCCGCAGATCGAGCTCCACAGAGGGATTCGGCGCCAGCACCGCCGGGAAGAGGAAGCTCCCGACAGACTTCTGCTGCGGTATTCCGATTTTCACGAAATCCCCCGCCATTGGAGGGATCAGAATCCCGCTTTGCTCCTTCGCTTCTCCTCCGATCGGCCGCCACCGTCGCCGCCACTCCACCTTCGCATCTAGATCCCCATATTCATTCTGCAAGGAATCATAAGATGCTCGGGAACCAGAGCAGCCCCAATCGTATCAGAGCGTACGATAGCAAAGACCGCGTACGGCGCGAAGATCAATCAGTCTTGTTTCAACTTTACAGTTAGATCTCTCCAGGATCGCATCAATAACTAAAAACACCCTCATAAAAGATTAATTGTACATATATTGCTAATCACCGTTATTCCTGCTCTTCTCTAGTTTACCGGGGTGCAATCGTAGGGTGTAACTAAAAGTCTTACCCTCGTGGTGATGGTTCAAACGAATACTAACTTTTAGTCGGGGTATAAAAGGTATTAAAATAAATAATTACCTTACTGCCCTTAAGGAGATCATAGTTACAATTATATGTCATTAGAGGTCACCTTTCAAATGGAGACTTTTAAGTATGACCAAGCTTGCATACAAATTAGTTACATAAATAATTTTGCTAATTTCAATCACTTTAGAATTTTGCTAATTATTTTTGAAATATCTTGTACCTTAGTGGCATTAAGGTCTTCATCAAGTAGTACTACTGTGATAAGGCACACAGTTGACTATTCTAATAGTGGTCTGATAAGATCATAGCTGTTAATCAGCTAGTTTAGTCGCATAAAGTCACAGCTAGCCCTTCTGTCTTGTTAAAAAGTCAACACTTCCTTTTTGGGCTTGATTGGGTAAGCATACACGTTTCGACATAACATCTTTTGAAGAAAGAGGCCTGACCCACGTCGTTGACTTGCAACAAAATTGGTTATCAATTTCCCCAATTTCCTGCGTTTAGCTGAAATAAGTCAACCCCATGTTCATTAGTCACATCGGTGAGACTGGGTTCTACTTCCCATTGCATACCAAAAGAGGATGTGAGAAGTGCATTTCAGCCTTGTTTCCCCATCGGGGGCGCAGGTGCTTGAGTACTGGTTTCATTCCGGAAGAACTTACCTTACTCAAATTCTTCAGCAAGGTTGACTTTGGCCAAAGCTCCTGTATAGCTGTCCGAAACTACTATTTTCAGCAAAAAAACTCAACTTTTTACACATAAATGATGAGGGCTGGGGGTAAAAACTGTGGATAAAATGTGGGAAAATGGTAAGGCTGCGCTGACCATTATTTGCCGCCCAGTTGCAGCCATATAAAAGAAATCTGAGACCAATGAGCCTAAGATTGAGAGCCAGGGACTGTTGTTCTCTTTCTTGGGAGGAATCTGAGATTACCATCCACTGCATTGAAGGTTCTTCAGAGGGGCAGAAGAGGTCTTCATCTCTTCAGGAATCCCATCGCTTGGTAGACATTCTTGAGCGTTGTTTCTGCTATGGCAGTGGCCCTTGAAGCGCCCTCCGCCAGAATCTTGTCCAAGTGACCCGAATCGGATGTGATTTCACTGTAACGTTCCTGAAAGTTCAGGGAAGAGAAGTCAACGTGGGCTGTTCTAAGAATAGACGGCGTAGAAAGTACCAAGAGGAACTTGATATGGGTCTGCATGTAAGACCAACATAATGCAGCATAAGAAGAAGAGATATAAACCTGAATAGGTTGGAGATGGTCAACCAGCGCATCCGTGAGGATGGGTTTGAATGTACCCCAGTTCATGTTTTGACATTCTGATGCAACCTCCTGAAGCCGGAGAAAAAAAGGGTAAAAGAAAATATATGATTATCCAGAAAATGTTGATCATAGCCGCCTGAAGAAGAGTGAAAAATTCTGAAAACTGTGGAGAAAAAGGAAAGCTTCGGTATATTAACAGAACAGAGAGAAAATTATCAGTACCTCTTTTGACTTTCCACTGACAAGCTGGTAAATGGAGAGAAGATTGTGGCATTCGGGTCTGTCGGGGTTGCCAAATTCTAATCTGCATGTCAAGGGATTCTTATTAGGTGAAAGGAAGGAATTATTCGGGAAATGTACGCAACTGAAATAATAAAATAAAAAACCGGGCTGACGCATACATTAATCTCCTTCTCAATAATGTTTCGTCAACCAGTTTTAGAGGGATTCATCAAATATCATGCAAATTTCAGTTAAGAATCAATTACAGAATCAGAAGCTATGTATACGCTGGAAATAGACAATAATCATAATCATATCTATGAGGCATGAAAAGATTTCAGCTACAACAATTATGTGGAATCCATGAGATGATGATTCTTTATCAACAAATGATGTAAAAATGTCTCCATATTATGGGTCTAATAAATAAATAATTGCAGCAGTAGAAACCCGCCCCCAAACCCCCAGTGTTCTCAATCAGCGAAGCCTCACTCCTATTCCTACGTTCTGCTCTCCAAGCCATAAGGGTAGGTAGGTCAAGACCATAGCTTTATAAAAACGGAAATCATAATATATCTAACTTGATGTTCACATTAGCATCGTTTTCTTTCTCAGATTCTTATCTGAATATTCGCAAACCAAAGAACAAAATCCAGTGCACCTCATCAAGAAAAATTTACGTTAAAAAAAAAAATGTGACCAAATTCATGATACAGACCCGGGCAATGAATCAGTTTTGCAACGCTTAATCTTGTTTGCAATTACCTGAAAAACAGTATATAAATGCCAATTAGTGTCAGATAGGGAGATAGAAACGGGGGCAAAAGCTCATCAAAAGAAGACCACGAAAAGGAATGAATGACTATGTCTCACATCTTTTGTATCAAGGAGATTGATACGAGACTGATCAGACGGTGCAGACTTTGACATCTGGATTGGCAATCAAACAGATATCAGAGAAACTTGTCATCATAGATGACTCGTGAAAAAGAATAATAGACAGCTCTTTGTGAAGTTCATTCTAGATATTTTTTAATCTCCATTAAAGTTTACTCAACTGCCCATTAAACTGTATTATCCTCGGTTTTCTACCCAAATTTTGGTCGGCACATAAATAAATGACCACAAGAAAAGTACTAGAAACCTTTTTGAGCATTTTTATAAAGTTCTTACTACCACATGCTATAAATCTATACGACATGTCCAAGTTTTGTTCGTCCAGAGGAAGACTGAACAAGTTGATACCTTTGAAAGACCATCTGTTAGAGACATTACACGAGCCCCAGCAGGAGGAATGAGGGCTTCAGGAACCTATTATAGAAGATTGATACAGGAAAATAATGCATCTTTTTCCAAAAAAATAAAAAATTAAGATAGAATGATAAAAATGGAAAATAGAGACTACAACCATCAAAACAAGTACCTTAAAAAGTGCACCACCTCTTCTGCAGGCAGTATGAGATAGACAATCAAATTGATGGCACCATTGGAAAAGGAAGAAAGATGGAAATAATTTAACATTCAAATAAAGCAATTGAAAACCCTTACTACCCTCCGAGTTTCTTCCATTTCTTTCCCCCATATAAGTAATTCACCCTGTCAGCCAATTCACGTGTCAGCTCTAGATGTTGCTTCTGATCCTCACCAACAGGCACAAAATCAGCCTGCCATGCATCCATCACTAGATAAGAATTGGATCATTAAGACACTGGAAAAAAATGTCAGGATGTACCTATATTTATTATATAACTATCAAGCGCAATGCAGAGAAAAATCAACTGATACGTGGTATAAATGTGTCTTAGATCATGTTATCTAAAGTTGTCTATGTTTGGCGGCACAATTGAAGAACCTGACAGAAAACATCCAAAGAGAGAAAAATTACATAAAGGTAAATTCAGTTTTGCTTACCTGATACAAAAGGATATCCGACGCCATGAGGACAGGGTAAGTCAAAAGTGCAACTCCAACATTTTCATCGCCCTAGAGCAAAATTTGACCACAGAACGGTTAATAATGCACACTTCCCAAATCAACTGAAAGACTCATATATCTGATATAAATAACCAATATCCAACAGAATCCAATAAATGCCACTATGAAATAAAGCAATGCCACGAATTTCAGCTAAAGTAGAAGAGATGATATAGCATCACTCAGGTGGCTCTCTAAATGTTGTCCGTGAAAAATTTATTCGGTATAAATTGCATGAATCTATTCACATATGCTGTTCCAAGAACAAAGAGGTATTGATTGAAAGATGAATAAGTATAGATTGCCTTTTGGCACCAGAGGACTCTGTTAACACACGAGTACTAACACATCCAGTCTGGATTATTGCTGAGTCACCTTCTTTTCATTTCTTCATATCAGTCATTTTCTGTTTGTCCAATGTGTTTTCAATAATTAACAAGAGATCCAAGTTCAGTTTTGAGCGTGTATAGGAACCGAAAACATAAAATATCACCTTAGTACAATGACATCTACGGAGGTTGTCAATTGACAAAACCAGGCCCACCTTAAACTGTGTTAGCAGCCAGCATGTGTCAGGCCGAACTTAAATAATTAATTAGTTTTTGAAGCTTGAATTTGACGTAGTACAAAAATTGGCGTACCATTCTACTAAAATTAAGTTTATAGGTGATGAGATTTCTGACTTAGATATCTGACAGGTTATAATGCATGTAAGTGAGACACTACAACTGTTAGTTGCTTCTGATTTACTCGAGGTATGTCCAGGATTTTCTCTCAATCGTATACTTTGAACAATCACAGAGAATTGCACGATATACGATAAAATTAACGATTATAACAGGTAAAAATGAACATGAGATAGATAAAGGAATTCAATGAAACAAATGATCAATGAAGCTGTCATACAGCTGCAACGCACCGCCTTGAGAGATTTTTCTTTAAACTGGATCATTCTGTTCAGCCAACCGATTGGAGTGGTAGAACTCAGCAGCCACATCAATTCTACGTGTTCACGAACATGGGATTGAACAAAGACAGAAGCCTAAATTTAAAGACAAATAAGTACTTGGGTCTGATGGGAGTAATAGAGAACCAAAAATAGGAAACGATTCAATGAAATAACAGTGTTGAACCTTTGTTGTATCAACGCCACATGCCAGATAAAGGGCTGCAGTACTCCTTGTTGCTTCACTCAGCTGCCGAGCATCATATTGGAGAGTGATCTGTCAAATGGAGAAACTATCTTCAGACCAACACAACGATTACAACAGTTGACAGGACCAGGTTGAAAGGAGATTTAAAACTTCCAAATAAATCTTCTTGTTCTGGATACTAATTAGGCACACAATATCAGAGAAAAATTCTCCAAATTATAAGAACGTTACTCGCATCCGATGCCTCCTCTTACAAATGAAAACACATAAATATACAATAACATTGGGAATGGAATTGCGACCGTAATATGAGCCATCAAGCTCGTGAAAATGGTCTTTTTTACGCAAAAAGTTGTCTGATCAACGGGACAGCATCAAAGGGACACTTAACAGATCATAGCATATGATCACACAGCTGTAGATAGATGTTTTTTTGGGACAGTTTGTAGTTTGGAGCTGAAGTTTTGCCAAGGGGACTCCAACATAAGGTGATTAACCGAGTCTGGCTCTGGCCATAAATTTCCATTCGAAGCTGTTTCGTTCCCATTTTGGGAAATGTGTTGGCAAGAGCATGAAAAGATACACAAAATCATCACCATCATCATCATCATCATCCAGTGCACATGCTTTGTATCTTAAGGCAATGCCTTGTAACATAGTAACAATTACACTAAATTACGAGGCACATTACTACTAGACATGAGAAAAGCAATAGCAGGTTGTCAAATACAATAAGTAGAAATAGACTGAGACAAAAAACACTAAAGTTTAACAGATCAAAGCTCACCGCATGTAAGTCCACAATGAAGAATAGCGTTTCATATGTATCCTGCAAAGAAGAATGGAAAGCAGAAGAATCATATATACGGAAGATTAAAAAAAAAAATGATTTCCTCGGGTTCTACGAATCATCACTATAGAATATAGGTTTAAAAATATAAAAAAGGGAACATTAAAGAGAAGCAACGAGTTTAAAAAAAAAAACAGATAAACACTGAAATATTTTCATGATTGTTGAAAGAAAATTTAAGCTAGCTCATATCAAGTTCTAGGAATTGGTCGCAATCAATCATTCAAACTACCAATAAAATATTAGGAGATGTATATTGAAATAACCAAATATTGATGGAAAAAACGCTCAAGTTTCTTAAGATATTGAAATGAGAAGTGACACCCATAAAGTTCAACCAACCTGGAGAGTGATCCAATTTTTAATGGCACCAAGATAATTCCCGAGGTGAACTGATCCAGTTGGCTGGACGCCAGAGACTACCCTCTTCCTACAAAGGGAAATAAGAAAATAGAGTACAAAAGGACTTCATTTTGGCGTTAAACAACGCGTCAGGGCCATAGTGTCGAATTCATAACTTCGATTGAATATAGTTCATGGAGCATCATCGAATTCGGTCATAAAACACAACTCCGGGATCGTTTCTTACTTCCGAGTACTCGTTGAAGTCTCTGAACCGTCGGCGTTGGCTTGAGGGACCGAAGAGCTACACAGGCAGAGGAAACCGGCGCGTCCCCGCACCGGTAGACGAGCCACCGACTTCCTACCCGTTCTCCAGCAGCACCTTCTGCCGAAACCACAGAAGATATGATGGGAGGAGGAGGCGACATCAGGAGCCGAAAGAAAAAGACTATGAAATGAGCAGCAGCCTCTAGGGTCACCCACATTGGGGCGTGGAGCCGCGGAGAATCGTTGGAGAGGAGGACGAATTGCGAGAGAAGAGTGCGGGCCATGTCCACTGACTCGCCTCTCCTCTTCTTCTTCTTCCTTGCCCCTAGCTTCTTGCCGCTTCCCGCGAACTCAGCTCTCCCATCTGGATCAGCCAGCCCATCTCAGAGGATTTGATTCTTTTAACTGGTTTTTGAACTCTGTGATCGACGGCGATCCCTCATAATGGGCCCGGACGAAAGAAAAGCCCAATAATCTAGGGCCCGGCGTCTTAAGCTAATAAAGTGGGGGACCCCATTCGGGGCTTAAAGAAGCCCGAAAAACAGGCTATGGCCAGGGACACGGACTTTGGCCCAATAATCACGATCGTGTGAGATTACAAAAACTTACGGGCCGAGCGCGAACAGGGCTTTCCCAGGCCCGGACCTCTTTTGTCGGGCCGGAACAGGGATTCATGGGGGAAAAAGCCCAGAAGGTGGACAACGAAACAGGCCCACCGAGGCCAGGGACCGGCCCGACCGGTACAGAGAAAGCCGAAAGCGCCAGGTGATTGGGGGTATGAAGTGAACCCAATGGGCTACTCCGGAGGCCCAATAAGATACTGATGTGGGGTCAAGAAAAGTGGCTGTAAAAAATTGAACAATTTTAATTAATTCAAAGAAGGTCCCACAAAATCGAGAGAGAGAGAGAGAGAGAGAGTAGGCCAAGAGAATCGCATCTGTTCGGGATATATATGGCATAAAGAATGAGCAACGTCCGAGCCAAGTGAGGAATGAAACAGAAAACATGCAAGGAGAAGGTCGATTTATTTCTTCTTCCCACCCTTGGCGGCGTCTCCGGCCTTCATCTGAACAATGAGCGGCAACAACATGTAAGCACATACGCGCATATGCCACACCGCAGAAGATATAAAATCATGCGTAAGAAAATATGAAATGTAAGCGCTACCTTCTTGACCCCTCGGATTTTCTTCGCTCTGTTCTTCCTCTCCTTGACCTGCTTCCTGGATTTCTCGACTTTGGTTGCAAGACCATTCTGACGAATACCAATCCCTCGTCAGAAAGCCAGCCAAGAATAGAAAACCCATGTCTAAAATACAAACAAAACAGTAAAGAGAAGCGACGCCAATCGAATTGTGAGGATATTCACTAGATGAATACATCAGATGCTACATAAATGCATAGAACCCATGAAAAGAAAAAAAAAGGATTATGAAAGGGACAATCTTGTGAATGTCGTGTTAAAATTCTGGGTAGGGAATGAGAATCGGCCAGCATAAGGAACCATCGTCTCAACAAAATAACAGCAATTCGAGAGCTACCATTAGAACTAAACACGCTGTCTTGGCATGCGAAATCTGGTTTATTGAGAATCATTAGTAAGCAACAGAGGAAACAAGAAAACAAGGTAGCATGAGCACCAAGATCATGGAAGCCAAAAGTGGGATACTCTCGTCAGGTGGCAACAGGAAATAAGACGATATTCAATTTAAATAAAGACCATGGCGCCACTTGTCCTCTAGTCTGATCTCATCTTATTGAAGATTTTCTTCTCACATATGGGAAGAAGCATTTAAAGAATGGGCAGCTAGGTGAAAATCATGTCTTCGAAGGAAATTAAGAAGAATTACATGTGCAAGTGCACATGATATATACAGATGTATACTGGGACAGAGAAAGAATCAGGACATGCGGAAGGGGGGGCGATGCGAAGCCTGTAGGAATCATCAAGACTCGAATAAATTACGTGCAGGTATCCTCCAAAAGATAGGAACGGGACATAAGAAATATACGTAAAATTAAAGCGCGCATTACACCTGTAAAAGCTCGTCCGAATGGGTCATTTTTCTAAAATTCAAAAATACAGTCGAAAAACCATCCAAGTTCAATTCCTGCAGACGATTAGATTAACGAGCAGCTTTTTTATGGTTTTCCAAATGACGAGGAGGATTGTCGCGGGCAAGTGAATACTGAGTTCAAAGATCAGTGAATGGGGTTATGTTCAACAAGTAGAGAAGAAAGAAGTGAGCACTTAATTATCTCTTGTTGGGAGATAATCAATTCCGAGCATTTACATCACAAACAAAAGGCTAATGTTGGAAATTACATTTCCCAGCAAACAATATTCTAATATCAAAATAGATTTCAATGCAATAAGTCCATTTCCAAAACCACATATATACACAAAAAACTAACTTGGACTTCCAACAGAAGATCACATCAGAACGTAGGAAAATATACAATAGATAATTGTCAAGTTCCGCTGGCTCTAAACCGTCTGATGCATAGTAGCAGATATGAGAATAGAGAAGACAAAAGCGACGATAATACGAGAATAAAGCTTTAGAAATTGGAATGCGATCCCAAGGATACTGATGCAATAAGTACCCTGATCAGCCTGTACTTCGGCTCGAACTTCTTCGCCTGTTCAACTGAATCATAAATCAAGCCGAATCCAGTGGACTTTCCGCCTCCGAAGTGTGTGCGGAACTTAAACACGAAGATTGCGCTCTGGTCCTTGACGTCGTACACCCTCGCAAGCTTCTCCTTCAACTCCACCTGCATTATCACCCCAATTTTTTTAAATACTATCAGCATATGCCGGAAACAATAGTGATTTACGAATGACACATCTATCCAGGATTTACTGCTTCTGCCAGAGAGGCGAACCCACCTTGGAGACATTGGCCCTCCCTGGGTGCAGGACATCGATAACCTGAAATGCGTGAGACTATTAGTTGAAGCAGACGTAACATAGAAGACAGGGGAAGCCACAACAATTGAAGGACTTACAAACTGCTTCCGCGAGAGGAGCCTGTTCGTCATGAACTTTCTGGTGCGGATGGTGACCGCCGCTTTAGCGTCCGCCATCTTCCAGCTCTCTTCTTCTCCCTTCGACACGAACGGGAGGGAAAAGCGCCGTAACGCCGAGAGATCAATAGACTCGATAACGTTAAACCCTAGACAGCAGTGGAATTTCTCGCCTGGCATTTATACAAAGCGCCATCGTGACTGATTTTCCCGCTGAGCGGTTAGCGGCGGATCGTTGCGGATGGTTTAGATGTGATTGTATAATGATCGGGAAAATCCTGGCCGTCCAATTCTCGAGTTAAATGGACTGAAATTAATGGGCCCAATTTCTCGAGTTTGGGCCTCGATGTGTAGTGCCCTGGTTGACCCCGCGGTCAATGCACCCGACTTGGGATTTTTTGACTTTTCGAGCCTTTCTCCTCCTCCGTCTGCGCCCCGGCTTCGACTGAACTTTATAAAAATATAGATCTGCATCAATCTCATTTCCCAATAATTTTTTAATGTAAAATTACGGTATTTAAATCAGGATAACCGAATTAATTAACAGACCCCTTTAAACCGGTTACTTTAGTCGAAGAGCTGTCGTTGACTTTGGATGTTGGCCTTAATAATTGACAAAAAAATCAATACAGGATCAATCGCTCCATTGACTTATCGGCCATATTGTCAACCACTTTGTCCAGTCTTCGGGGAGGTCACATCGGTCTCCCGAACTGGTGGACCTACCAGTTTTGGTCCAAAATATGAGGCAGCTGGATTATACTCTCCGCCGGCGGAGTTCTTTTTTTGGTTGCAACTATGACGTCACGGATGACGACCAAAAGAGGACGGCGTCAATTTTAGAGGGGATTCGTCGTTCGGCTCCAACGACAGCGCGTAGAGGGAGCTGGGACACGTCGTCATGACGTAACTCGGACGTAGTCTTAACAAATCTCTTAACGCGTCTAACCGTAATTAGTGCAATAATTTAGATTATTGGTAATGACGATTTTATGAGATGGAGTAACGGTAAATAACATAAATTAAAAATAATCCTTCAGAAAACCATGAGAGGCGGATGTGTCAAAATCAACGATTCGTTGGGTCTCGGATGTTGACTAGTCACTTCTAGAAGGACGGTGGTGGTCCAACAGAGACACGTGCCATCAAGAACTTGACCTCGAATAGCCGGCATCTTTGGCGGCCGCCTCCCTCTTCGTAGGGTCTTTTAATCAGATTATGTACTGCATCATCGGCTCGGCTCATCACAGCCGTCAAATTCAGCGACCGCGACGCTGTTGGGGCCGACTGGTAATTACTTTGGTGCTGAGAGGAGAGACGCCAGAGTAAGTTGATCCGCCGGTTCGTCGAGAGGCATCAGAGATGTTCCACCAGTGCTATGCCAAGGCCGAGTACGAATTTGCCCACCTATCGCCGCCGAGGGAATCGGATAAGAAGGTACGGAGGAGACCTCGCGAGTGAACGCAACGGTACTTCTCCCCTCTCTAACTGTTTAACGCAGCTTTTTTACCTCTTCCGCTTCCCGCACAACCTCACTAGAAAAGGACACGTCATGGAGACGCCGAGAGACGGGGCCACGTTGCCGCGCCCATCCGGGACAAAGGACCTGGTTCTCTCTCTCTCTCTCTCTCTCTCTCTCTTCCCCATCCCAGGGTGTGGCTATGATCGGTGAACCGAACCCAAGCGTGTATGGACATTTTCTCTCACCTCTCTCTAGCCCTTATAAACGGTAATGACGATAATGATAAGCATTACTATATAGTGCTGCATTAAAGAGGAACATGAATGCATATTATTTTTTACTTTTTCAGTCGCGTCGTGTATATAATGGGGAGGGGGGAGCCGGTGTGTTGTATCCGCGAATCTCCTTCGGCCGCGTTGAAAACCAGAGGAGCTCCTCGTTGTTCGCGGTTTGCCGCGGTGTTGGTGTGGTTGGTGACCTCGGTGAGGTAAGGCGGCCTCCTCGTCCGTGGTACTGTGCAGCGCGAACACCGGGAGGAGAAGAAGAGGGAAGTTGTCGGAGGTAGAAGGGGCGGGATGGCGAGCGCGCTGAAGTCGGTGCCGGAAGTGGAATCCAAGTCCACCGTCGGGGGAGGCGTCGAGGACTTTTACAGCGAAGACTACGCCACCGAGGAACTGACCGTCACTCCTTGGACGGTATCTGTGGCCAGGTAAAGCGCCTTCACAGCTGCACCGCTTCACGCGTCCGTCTCGTCGTTTGCAGTCATCCTCAGGGATCTTTCTTCCCAGTGCTTTGAATTATGCACGAACCTCGTGATATCCCTTTCTTTCGTATGATCTCTCAATGGAACTCTCTTTCTGATCCGCGACTGTCGTCCAGTGCTGTTCCAATCTTCTCCTCTATCTCTCATTCGTTATGGTTAGCCAACGGCTCGACTTGTTCAGTTACTGAGTTTTCTGTCGTAAAACTCTGTTGTATCCTATCCTAATAAGTGTTCGATTATCGTCGATCCTAACTTTCTGAGTTCTCAGACAAAGTTCATACATTGGATCCTGTCCATCTCTCTCTCTCTCTCTCTCTCTCTCGCGCGCGCGCGCGCGCGCCTTACGGTCTCCTCCAGACGTCGTTTGGTTTCGCTTCCGAAGTTTATCTCATTTATAGGTAGGCCGATCTTTCTATTCTAATACTGAAACCAGCATCACGCTGACTACAGCCGAATCGTCAAAGCAGTTTTAGGGATAGTTAGGTTCATTTCTGCTGTCCGAGAGAGATTTAAGCTATTAGAACTTCGGACGTATCCGATTCCTATTTTTTATTCATCCGATGGATCGCCACTATAGAGTAAAGATTGTCGTGGTGATCTTCCCCTAAACGGTAATTTTTGGCCTCAGCGGCTATTCCTTGTTGAGGGATCCACACCACAACAAGGGACTCGCCTTCAACGAGAAGGAGAGAGATGCTCACTACCTTCGAGGCCTCTTGCCTCCGGTATGCAGCACCCAGGAGCTTCAGGTCTGCGAACCATCAATCATGCTTTCGAAGACATTTTACGGTGATTTAACATGAATTACGAGCGTTTATTATGTTTTAATTTACCATGTCCCGTTTGAACAGGAGAAGAAGATGATGCACAACCTCCGTCAGTATCAAGTTCCTCTTCAGCGTTACGTGGCGATGATGGACCTCCAGGCATTGACAATATCTAAATCCCTCCCTCTTCCCGTTTATTGTGTGTTTTATGGAGTTGTTTGATTAGTCAGGGTTGTTAACGGTCTCCGCTGTTCAAATCTGTTATCAGGAGAGAAACGAGAGACTCTTTTACAAGCTTCTGGTCGATAACGTCGAGGAGCTGCTCCCCATTGTGTACACGCCGACTGTCGGTGAGGCCTGCCAGAAGTATGGTTCCATTTTTAGGCGCCCGCAGGGTCTCTTCATCAGTCTGAGAGAAAAGTATGTTTTCTGACATCTTCTCTCCCATCGTAATTTTATACCCTTCATCGACTTCATTCTTATTGTTCAACATTTTCTCGGTTCTTTTAGAGGAAAGATCCTCGAGGTATTGAAAAACTGGCCCGAAAAAAGCGTTCAGGTCATTGTTGTTACAGATGGTGAACGCATCTTGGGCCTTGGAGATCTCGGATGTCAGGTTGTCATCCTCTTGTCAATATGACTGTGTGGACGCAATAAAACAATGTCCATTAACCATTCTAGCAAATGACCATGAGTTAAAATTTTTCTAGGGGATGGGAATCCCTGTGGGGAAACTCGCTCTGTATACAGCCCTCGGTGGTGTACGCCCCTCAGCAGTAAGCATTTTTTTTTATTTAGGCTATAATTCATCTCTCCATAAACTTCATTATCTGTCCTATTATCCTTCATGCTTACTCGTGAGAGGTCCCGGTGATTTTTTTTGAATCTGAGGATTGTACTTTATTTTCAGTGTTTACCTGTAACGATTGATGTTGGAACTAATAACGAAGAATTGCTAAATAACGAATTTTACATTGGGCTCAGGCAGAGGAGGGCCACTGGACAGGTTGGCTTACCATACTACGCTGATTCATGAACCCTTAAAACATAAATGTCATCTAACTTAAAAGTAGTTGGTTTTGATGTTCGATGTGTCAATGTAGGAGTATGACGAACTTCTGGACGAATTCATGACCGCTGTTAAGCAGAACTATGGGGAGAAGGTCCTCATACAGGTTTGTTTATTTTATCAGACTCACTTGGCTACTGGATCTCAGTATCTTCTAGTTCGTCGGCGCGTTATTTAACCAAAATAGACTGCGGTTTCCAGTTTGAAGACTTCGCCAATCACAATGCATTTGAGCTGCTTGCGAAGTATCGTACCACTCATCTCGTCTTCAACGATGATATCCAGGTAGTGTAAACGGAGGTCTTTGTCCCTTAAGATGATTTGATGTTTATGTTTGTTGCTTCAGTGAGACTTGTGCACTTTCGTAGCTACATATTCTTGTTTCCCGGTGGACATGAATCTCAGTTAGTTAATTATATGTGTTTGCAGGGAACTGCTTCTGTGGTCCTCGCTGGAATAGTTGCAGCCCTGCAAGTCATCGGTGGAACATTGGCTGAGCACACCTTCTTGTTCCTTGGTGCTGGAGAGGTTAGTTTCTTTCTACATGCCTTCTCTGATATAATTAATATTAAACTTGTACACAATCACTCCTCGTTCCGTCCATCCATTCTGATAGTTGCGATTTCTAGCTTGTATGGTCGAGCATTTTCAAAGTTTCCCCCATTGCCTGGTTACGCTACACATAGTCTTGGGATCATCCTTGTAGGATCGAGCTCAAAGAGTTTTCGGAGTTTTGAAACTTTTTTTTTTTTTTTTTTGGATTGATTGAGTGTCTGTTGCTCTTCCTGAATATTTCTGTCTTTTGCTTTTCTATGCATTGCGGGCAGGCTGGCACTGGTATAGCAGAGCTTATAGCCCTCGAGATGTCAAAGCAGGTACGATAGATGAAATTTCCAGATTGCCTGTCAAGTGGTGTAGAATTTTCTGTACTACCTGAGCGAGGTTAAATATGAATTTCATCTCTTATTTTGTTTCTTTGGTAGACTAAGGCTCCTTTGGAAGAGTCTCGCAAGAGGATTTGGCTTGTGGACTCAAAGGTACATGAAAAGTCACGAATTAATTTCTTTCATGTCTAAAATTTTTATCTTAGTGTTTGAGCATTTTTGCAGGGACTGATTGTTAGCTCCCGTAAGGAATCACTTCAGCACTTTAAGAAACCTTGGGCTCATGAGCACGAGCCCGTCAAGGGGCTTTTAGACGCCGTGAAGGTGAGGACTCCCCCACAAATTTTTTTATGTAGCTTATTAGGCTATGCTCTCATCCTCAACAAGAACTTCCCTTTTGTTAATATATCCCGATCCACGTGTTTTTTAGTAATGTGATCTGTTTATTTGTTCTCTAATGTTTTCAGATTATTTATGTTTACCGAAAAATCTCGTAAAGTGGATAGATATAATATCTGTACATTTCCAAACATTATCTGTCCGTTCAACTTTGGCCTGTGATCTCATGGGACTTGTCATGTTATCTCTCGTTCTGTAGTCAGTCAAACCAACCATCCTGATTGGATCATCCGGGGTGGGGAAGACATTCACCAAGGAGGTGGTCGAGGCCATGGCCTCTTTTAACAAGGTCGAAATCTCCCCTCCTTTTTCTTGCCCTTCCCCCCCTCTTCTATTCTTATGTCTGGAATTTTCCCCGGGAAGCGATTTCTCAATTCCCTCCGACGAACTGCAGAGGCCCGTAATCCTCGCGCTCTCAAACCCGACGTCGCAGTCCGAATGCACGGCCGAGGAGGCGTACACGTGGAGCGAGGTCCGTCTAGAACGCAAGCATAATAATCCTCTCTCCATTGTTCTCACCTCGAGCACGACCTGAGTCCAATTAATCTGCATCTTCTTCCTTCTGCAGGGCCGGGCGATTTTCGCCAGCGGAAGTCCATTCGACCCAGTCGTGTACAAGGGAAAGACCTTCGTTCCCGGGCAGGTACGCCCCCCCCCGCCGATTCCCCCCCCCCCCCCCCCCCCAACAAACCGGGCATTCCCCTCTTGACACCCCCATTCATCCATCCGTCCAGGCCAACAACGCGTACATCTTCCCCGGCTTCGGCCTGGGCCTGGTCATCTCGGGGGCCATTCGCGTCCACGACGACATGCTTCTCACCGCCGGTACGCATCCCTTCAAAATAAATAACCTATGATGCTAAAAAAAAGCCAAGCGAAGAAGACCCGATTGGTCTGATTCTTCTTCGTCCGTTGATGCCTTTTCCCTAGCGGAGGCGCTGGCTAAACAGGTGAACCAGGAGAACTTCGACAAGGGGCTCATCTACCCGCCCTTCTCAAACATCCGAAAAATATCCGCCCACATCGCCGCCAGCGTCGCCGCCAAGGCGTACGACCTAGGTGGGCCCCTCCTCCTCCTCCTCCTCCCGTCAACCCTCTTCGTTGACTTCTCTTATGTGGTTGGTTGCCGTTTGCGTGAGACAGGCCTGGCCTCCCGCCTCCCCCGCCCTGCGGACCTGGTGAAGCACGCCGAGAGCTGCATGTACAGCCCCACCTACCGCAGCTACCGCTAAACAGGGGCCGCCACCCACCACAAGGTTCGGACAAGCTGGCCCAGACCGTCTTGTCTCCTTTCGAGGGAGCTTTCCGTTCACTAATAATCTGGGCTTTCATTGATCGCTCTGGCCGATGTTTGTATTGTGTTTTCAAATACGTACCCCTCGGACGCTTGTCTTCTCCCACCGGTGCACTGTTCTCCTCTCCATGGCAACGTAAGCGTGCGTTGACCGTGTTGGCTGTCTAATCTGACCGGCTTCCTACCGTACGCATGGCGGCCCTGCCTCATGATGAGAAACCCATAGGGGGAGAGAGCGAGAGAGAGAGAGAGAAAGAAAGACAAATAAGCTGTTGTCATCGGTGTACGTCTTCTTCCCTCCCCCCTGGTCTGGTTTCTAAGAGAATGGCCATGCTGCTCACGGGGAGTTGACGTTTTAAGTCAACAGCTGGGTCTTGGTGGGATTATCTTCGGCCTTCCTCCGGTTCACAAACGGGTATGCATTGACCGAGCTCATCTTCCGGTTTATTCTCCAGTCGTAAGAAATAAGCTTGTTGTCCACCTGCTTTCCATGAACTTCTTCCGATTTCTGAGCAGAGGACGGTGACTGGGTCTGGGGGGTTGACCGATCTCATGCTGTTGGACCATTTTTTACGATGTTCCTTAACAGAGATTATATGGTAGCTCGAGATGATAACTGCCTAGCGTGGGGCCATAGAGAGAGAGAGAGAGAGAGAGAGAGAGAGAGATTGAGACTTATTTTTAAGTATGAATTAGGAATTTTTCTTAATATGGATATTAAAATGTAATTATAGAAATAAACATAAAAGTATCCTTTCGTCATGTTTTCCGAAGAAGTTATTTTTTGAAATTAAAAATAAAAAATGTTTTTTATTATACCCCTCGAAAAACCCTTCCGAAGCCCATCCTCAGTCTGTTTGCAAGCTCCAGTGGGAGGGAGGGAGAGAGAGTATCAATTGATTCAAGACGGAGCCCCCTCAGCGACGGAGAACCCTCACCCTCACTCTCCCCGTCGCCCGGACCTCCGTTGGGGAGTCGGGGGCGTGGACATGCCGGGGCGTCCGTCGGATCCGGGGGACGCCCTCGTCCCATTCTCGTCCCAAGTCCATGACCCCGTCGTCTACTCCGTCCGCCACGGCCTCAAGCCCCCGATATTCCGAGTCTACGTCGCCTGGTCCCGGGGGAACCTACTCCACGTAGCTTGCCTCCGAGAAAGAACGCCATCGGAATCGGGAGAAGATGACGATTCCAGACACCCCGAGGCTCAGGCGGGTGGGGTCGTGGTGGAGGTCCAACTCCAAGGAGGCGCGAACGGCGAGATTAGCGAAGCGCAGCAACGCAGGATTGCTTACGGTTCTGTTCCTGCCTTCGCATTGCTTCAGAGTCGGAGGAATGCTCTGATGGCAGCTTCCAGGATGCAGTTTTCCTCATTCCGCACCGAATGGTAGGTTTTACTCGCTAGCATCGTTACATTTTCCGTCACAGGGTACTTTTTTCAAAATATTTCCGAAACTATTCTTTTTCCAGTTAATTTCCGTTTTGAAAGATTTGGTACTTACATAACCAAGATTGGCGTCCTTCACGATTTCCTCTGTCCAATTTTTTGTATATCGTTTGAATTTCTGTATACAACGCTCATGGATTAGCTGAAATAAGATCAAACGTTCTCATTTATTTGGCTGCTTGCAGGGTAGTGCAGTGCCCCTGCGAGAAGCTATAGTGCACCGTGATGTTTGCCAAGAGTCAATATTTGATTAATGCATATTTTATCTGGGTCTTCGTTTTATTCAATTTCGTTGTTATCCATTAAATTATAATACCGTGAATCACGTATTTTGAACTATAAGAGGTGCTTAATAAAACGTTGTGGCTGCTAAGATGTGCAGTACTTAATGTGTCAAGAACGATAAAGGGTGATTAGTAGGGAGATGAAATCTGGTTTATCAGCTATATCTGAGATGCGTGCTATTTTATTTGTTGGAAAGAAACTGCATCTGAACATGGGGAGTCATTTATGAACTTTCGTGTGAAAGTAGATATGTATTATAGCGAGATTATAACCTCCATGCCATTACGAGTTTTTCTTTGCTTAAGCATTGCTTCTTGTTTATTGCGTGAAAGAGATTAGATTTGGTCCAAGAAAAGAAGAAGCTCCGAGACTCAAGGATATTCTGTAATAATGCAAGTCTCTTTCTACCCAATTCCACTTATGCGTAGGGCTGGCTGTCCTACTGGCATTGGTTTTGAATGCAAGGTTCTGTTCAATGATTTCATACCTATATATTCACGAGTAATGGTGACTTGATCAATGATTGATTTTAACTTTTCAAATTTTATCACACACGGTTGTCGTTTTATTTCTTACTTTTTTATGTGACAGGCGGCAATATGTTTTGGAGTACAGCAGCCAAATAGCTGATCTCCTAGGGAAACGAAAGCCACCTGAAACAGTGATCGATGATCCAAAAATGTTTGTGGAGGTAGTTGCTCTTTGAAAGAAAATAATTTACTGGATGCACAGTTTATTAGATACCTTACATTTCAAATAGGGTTGCCATTAGAATAACCATTTAAATATATGCCTGTGTTATAAAGTAATGGAGCAGTTTACTTTTACAGCCACTTGAGGAGGAAACAACTTTGAAAGCTGCGTGGGACCTGGTGGAAATATTTTATGCGGACAATGACTCTAAAGCTTTTCTACCTGAGAATCTTGTTGATTGGTTAGCAGTAATGGTCTTCCTCTAGCTGCTTTTTTTCAGCCTATTTTCCTTTTTTTGTTTCAGGCCCAGGCTTCACTTTCCTACAGAAACTCAGGGTTGAAAATTGGTTTGCTTTGGCTAGTAACAGGAAACCGTATCAATTGTAACATCCTTTATCTCTTACTAATGATATTATTTACAGGATTATGATGGTCTTCTTTCTGCAACAGAACCAACGGTACACTCAAAACTTGTGGCTCTGCAGAGAAAGCTTGTTGATCTGCAGGTTTGTTTTTTGTGATACGAGGAGCATTCCTAATTGCGAAATGCAGTGGGTTTTAGCAAGTGACATGTGATAATGCATCCTGATTGTTTTTACATATTTTATTGTATTGCGAAGTGGGAAAGATGTGTGCTGAAATTTTAACAGCAATGATAAGCTCTCTTGTTAGACCACGTGAAGGTGAGGACTGATATGGTATTTGTTCAGAAATCAACAGGAAAGTATTTCCCACAGGAGCTCGTCGACCAATTCTCTTATATAGTGGATCCATTTATCTCCATATTCTGTCTGCTGTTCATCAACCATGTTGTTCAGCTTTTGTTCACCTTTTATTCCTACCTTGAAGGCTTTTCAACCTTCTCTGTTTTATTTTCATTTTTTTATTGCCTCGAACCTTTTTGTTTTTCAACCGTCATTTTGTGCATTTTTTTATTGCTCTATGCTCAGTTATATGGTGAGAGAGATGACCACTGAAAGGCTAGTATTTCTTTTTGACACCGATGGTAGGGGATTTCAGTGTTAGAAATGTTTTAAGCTAAAAGCGACTCTAAATTGAGGCTTTGTTCTTGCTTGCACTGCATTTGATATCAAGGACAAGGATGACCTGCTTTTTCATGGTTCTCATTATCACGTGGGATTTGCATTTTACAAATAGCTTGGATTATCCAGGTCGTTGAGGATGATCCTGACTACTGGGAAGGAATAGCGTTAGGATTAGCTGTTGGTTGGCTTGATATTGTGGTGAGTTGTTTTGCCTCTTATGCTTTTTAACAGCCAACATAATGACAGATAAATTAATTTTAAGCGGATGTTCCACTAATTGTTCTCCGTTCCAGGTGAAACTGTTAAGATTGCACGGATCATATCAACCTGATCAATTGGATGATCGAGAGGTATGCACAGTGCTCTGTTCTTGAGACAATTGGACATTTGATGCATGATGGAATTTTTTTTACAAAAAAAAATTGATGTTTTTTTTAAACTATTACTTCCTGATATTAAGGGGCATCAATTGAAATTCAGTTATTACACAGTGGTTATAATTACTACTTGAAGAACATTTTGAAACATGTGAGAAACATGATGGCAGATATTCTCATTGATTGTTCCACTATCCGAACGAGGTGCAATACCATTCTAATTGATAGAAAGGTTTCTTGGGTACCCAAATAGTTTTCTAGGTATCACATGACATCTGGAGTATTCGGACGCTCATCCCCTCTGAAAGTAAACATTACGAGGTAGAAACTTTTGCATGGATGACTTCCCAAATGTGACCTGCTAGCTTTATGCAGATAACATTTACGTCTCCTCTTGTCTATGGGTAAGTGGATTCATGGTAGACTTTGCAGAAGCCATTCCTCATAACTTTTATGCAAATGACACCCCTAGGAATGGCAGAAGAGTTACGGATATACGTCTTGGACTTGTCAGTGGATGATCAAAATGGATCACAGCATTTGGTAGCCTGTTCTTCACTCTGGAATGACAAGGGTAAGCATATATTCAAAGGATGAAGATTTTCAGTGGAGAGTGCATTCAATTTTTTATCTGATGGGGTAAAAGAGTGGATGACCTTTTCTTTTTTGTGATGAGGACGAAGTCGACTTTGTCACCCTCTGATAATGAAGAGGTGGTTTTGAGAACATACTGCATATATATAGGCACATTCCTTTCGTCTTTTTTATTATAAATGGATACATAGTACTCTCCACTCAAAAGTACAGAGATGGAGTACATGTGTCATGTTGGACTCTATCCATGCAGTTGATATGAGATTTGGTCAAACTATCACTTTTGTTTCTTTTTGGTTTGTCTTCACATGCTCCGATTACTGCTCGGATTTTGGTAAATGTAGATTTGCTTTATAGGGTTACCTTCTAATGTAAACTTGCTAACTACACTTTCCCTGGCTTGAAGTTTTCGTTCTCCAACAGATCATTTTAATTTTCGTCTGTTACTATTCGTGAATTTATTTGATGAGCTCACACTTCTCGATATAAGCAGCTTGTTTTGGCCCTTTTCCCCATCTTCAGTATCCTGAACAAGGACACGGTTTAAAGTGTCATTGGAGGTTAGATAACTCTTATGGGTGCATTTAAATTACTTGAATGTGTTGCACAGAAGCACTTGAATGTAGAAACAAGTAAAATTGTTTGAACGGAATAAATTGGGATTATTTTTTCTTTAGTTAGATTCAGTTAATGGTTTCAGAGCCTTATTTTGATTCTGATACAGTACTCCTCAAGACATGTTCGTCATAAGCGAACAGTCTAGAAGCTTCTACAGTGGACATTAAGGAAGGAGTGGGCTGAGCGGTATAAATACCCCTTCAATGTGAATAAGAGGGGGTATTGTGGTAGAAGGTCACGAGAGGAAAGGGAGAGTGGGGAATTCTCTCGAACTAATTCTCGTCTGTTCATTGTTTTCTTTGAATACATTGTTCGTTTTCCCTTCTTTGCCCAAGAGGAGAGAAGGGGATCGTATCAGATTCCTATGTTTAATTTCTTTTAACTTAATTTTGACCATGGTCCATCTTTCCCATGGAGGCTTTTATCTCGGGTCAGACTCCCTGTTGTAGCTACTGTATGGTGGTGAAAGATTTTCAGGGAAATCACTAAATACTATTTTCTAGTAGGCATCATATACGACTTTTCTAAGTGTACTACTGTTTGAAATCAACTTGTGTCACCGGACTCATTATTTGAAATTTCCAGATACCATCCTGATTTGATGACACATTATGTGTAAACGTTTTTGAATAGTTAGTGATGCCTTTAGAAAACACTTTTGTGTTGCTGTAACTGGGCATGTCTTTTGCAGACTGAAAATGGCCTGGTAGAGGCAGTTGCGGTTCTTGTTTCTACTATGCCACGCCTGAGACCTAATTTGCCTGCTGGGAGACTAGGCCAATGTTATAAAACTAGACAGGATTTCATCAAGGTATCACTGAGTTTTGGGTTCAGTTGATGCCAGTTCTATTTTTTATGCTTAACTCCCTATGTTTCTATCTCCAGGCTTGGGAAAAATGGCAAGGTCATGTTAATAAATTGGATTACAGTGCATTTTGGGTCCAGTGTGGCCATCGCCAAACTAGTGAGGGTCTGAGGAATCTATTACGGATTATGCTGGGGCAACTTGGTAGCCTTAACGGATCGACTTATCACTGGATGGAGCTTTATGTATCCCATTTTTTGTATGTACAGCCGTTCACAATGGTAATGCCAATACTCCCTGAAATAATTATGTCTTGCCTGCGTACATTGCTTTTTGAATTTTCAGCTGATTTTTTCTATCCTCAATTTACTTCGCTAATTATCTGGTCTTTTTTTCCCTGTGCTTCCTCCAATTTCTCTCAACACTCATCATGCAATTTTGTTTATATTTGATTATGTATGAATAAATTAAAAAATATTTCTATTTGTTTAGTTTTATGATTAAGCACATACTTCTCTTCTGTAATCCTTCTAACATAGATGAATCATAACTTTCTGGTCGTAATTTCCCACTGCTTTTGTGCTTCTGGTATCAATTCCTTCTAGTGCTGTTTTTGAAGCTATTAAGCATTTTAATTTTTTATTTTATTTTGCATCGGGGATCCTTTTGTCTCCTCAGGGTTTAGAAGGAATGTATAGTTTAGCTCAGAAGTGTATACAGCTGAAACCAGCACCCACCTACAGTGGACTTACTGGGATCCTACTCGGTGTCCTTGGAGAAAATACTGAGGCAAGGAGCTTGTGTTACTCTTTGTCGTCTTTTGTCATTCCTTCAAGCATAATTGATAGGTTCATTTTTTGGCAACATTCAGGTTGTTCTGGCAGAATGTTCAAACATATTCGGTCCTTGGTAAGCGATTAATTGTCATATAAATCATGCAATGAGTTTGAAGTATTTCTCAAATGAACTCAATTTCTGCAGCTACTCTCTATCATCTTGGATTTACCTGGATTTTCTATTTTTCTAGGATGGTTGTACATGCAATTGAATTGCTGACATCTGAAAACAAGCAAGCTGAGATGTTGCTACACGAAGAGCGTTACAACTTGGGAGGAATCAGCATTGAGGAACTCCATCGATTAGTCTATGCACAGGTCTTATCATCCCATTCTTTGACATGGCAGGTGAGTTTTTATTTATTGTCAGCGTATCTTTATGCTTGAAATTTCATGAATTTTTTGCTGCAAGTGTGATATTTGGATCATTGTTTATTCTTTATGGACAAATTTCTTTAAATGTGGTATTGGGAATCTTCCCCTGCTCTTTCCTCTGGAGAGGTCTACCATGCGCAAAATTATTTGATCTGAGTGAGACTAGCTGATTTCCAGTCATTGTGTTGTTATGTTTTTAATTTTTGCCTTTCTAGTGGGGATCCAATTGCCATTACCCCTGGAATATAATTCAGGTATCTTAATTCCCATCCTAACTGGCTGATTTGACGAACCATGGCTTCATAGATAAATGTGTACTTCTACAGAAACTTTTGTTTTGTGGAATACAAATGTTATATTGAACTCTTAAGCTTTAGTTGTGAATTATACCCTATTGCACAAACGCCTATATCTGACAGTGTACTTCTGATATATTATGCTCGTTCATAACATCAGCATTTTGTTCCTTAGATATGTGATGAGCTTTAGAATATCAAACTACTGAGTTCTTTAAACGAGACCAATCAAACTCTTTGTTTCTAATTGTTTAACATGATGAAATCGATGAAAGGCTTGAAAGGCATTTCTTTATATATTTTAATTTATTACGTATTATCTATGTAGTCTTACGGATAATTTATTGCTTATGGCCAGTTGGATTTTGTCTTCTTTCCCCTCTCTGCAGATTGCACCAACATATCTGGCATCATGCCAGAAGCAGGGTTTGGGTTTGTTGGAAAAATTATTATACATGCAACCTGTCCAACATTATCTTGTGTTACTAAAGGTTACTACTAACCGTGTTATGCAATTACTTTTCTCATTCTCATTTGATCTTGTTGATTTTCATGCTCTGCGATTGATGCTGTCATTCCTATTTTATGATCAGGATCTAGAAATTTGTCGCCTGTATGAGCTCGAAAACATCAGTTTAAGTGTGATGAAGGTAAGCATAATAACCATATGTGACATGTCATCATGTACTAGTGTTTTTATCATACCTTACGGTATATGGAAGATAATATAAAATTTCTTCCTATAAGCTCTCTATATATGTACTTTAGATTGGTTTTCTGCTCACGCTTTAGTGCTTCACCATATAGATCGCTGGAGTGCACCATTGGAAGCACGGTAGAAAGGGTTTTGGGATTTATTGGCTTCAACAAGCTCGGGATGAAATTCGTCTCAATAAAATAGCACAACAGTTGTTCGATTGTATTGGGAAGTCAATATCCGATGATAGTTTCAAGGTGCTTAATTTTTTCTCTCGAGTAAGAGCGGTAATTCTCATGTGGTATCTGTTATTGTGCTATTTACTCAAGTGTTTTAAAAATTCGCCATTGCAGCAATGGGAAGGATTAATTGAGCTCCTAGGCTCAGAAGTTGGAAGTGCAGGAGGCCTTGAGTTTCTTCACAAGTAGTATCTTGCTTTCTAATCAGCTATCTATCTCATTACAAAAAAAACATCAGCATTATTTTCACTTTTGAATTCCTCTTCTAACCAACAAACTATTTTATAGGTACAGAGATTTCAAGAAGTCCCTTCATAATGTGCAAGAAGGAGCAACTGTAACTGCCGCTAGACAGTCCATGCAATCTCTTGTACAGGTATTACAAGTAATCGGCAAAGCCCATCTATCAGCTGCAGTTTGTACCAATGCCATGGAAATTGGAGTCCCAATGAAATCATAGATAACCCTTTTGCTTGTTGAAAAGTTCTGTTAGTGAGGTCTTTTTGCTGATCTGTCCTTCCAGGCATATAAATTCCTTCATGGGAAATAGCATGTATTTGTTTGAGTGAGCAGGTCGTTTAAGAAACTAATGCTTACTCTTTCTCATGATGCACTTTCTGTGGTTGAGATTACTAGAAAATAGCACGTCAACAAGCAGGCAAATACTTATTATCATGATGAATTTCTATTGCTGACATTATTAGAAATGACTAATCAGTAAGTTTATTTCTATATTATATGGAACTTGTCATTTTTCTGGCCAATCTCAATACAGTCCTTTAAGCCTCAAAGTGGCATTCCTTCGGTAATAATATTTCAGTTTTAGAAGATTAAGTATTTATCTCGAGTCTTCACAGACGTGCCCAAAGAAAAATTAGAAGGCCAACCGTTCCTCTAATTAGCATTGAGATGGGATTGAATACTTGACTGGGTAATTCTTCATTTGAGGGGGACCTGTTTAAAAGGTCAGTTCACTTCTGAGCTACAGAAACCAGCGGTATGTTTTCCTTGAAAAGCATTACACAGTGAACTCCTCAGTTAGTGAGGTTCACTAGTTGAATTGTCATTTCATTGCCATGTTGATGACTTTCAATGTTGAATTTAGTAAACTTGTTTTCCTGTTAAATGCCATAATAACTAACTATATTGGATGCCATCCTTTTGGTCATGTGGACTTCATTCGCTTGATGAAGTCCTCTGGTAATCAAACTCCGATTTTAACTCTCTTGAGTTTCTGGGTTGCCTTTGTGTTTGGTACTGTAAAGTTGGTCCTTCCCTTGAACAAAAGGGGTGCTATTTCTAGTGGCATTAGTGAGTCTTTTGCCCCCGCTATCCCTCCCTTTACTGCTAAATCCTTTTCTATTACTACATTGACTCCACTGGATTAAACTTACCTTCCAATTCATCTCCAAGGCATTGCAGGATTTTTCCGTTTTATTAACTCTTTTGAGGTGCAACGCTCGAGATATTATCATGAAAACAAACGGGAGTAGAAACCCTTTTGAGGAAAATTAGACCAGTTTTCACTAGTTCCCTAATTCTGCAGTATATAAGTGTCTTTTATCGCACTCCATCCTATGTTAGAATTTAACTCGGGATTTGAATAGCACTATGCTAATCAGCCCTAAGCCGCTTGCACTCACATATCGGCTATAAACATATTCATATTCCATTTGATACAAAAAAAAAGACGTGGTTCTTTCTTCATGTATCCCGTTTTTTAAGCACATAGCAGATGGTATCCTGTTTTTCAGCCTGTTTATGGTAAGTGTGTGAGATGGTCAAAAGTAAAGCTAGAGTTGGTGGGGTTCTTTTTTTTTTTTTATCTTTATTGAAACCATTTGAATGACAATTCATTTTTATGTTTGCAGCTCATGAAGAGTCCATCTACTCCTCAGCGGTTTTGGTTGCCTCTTCTGCATGATTCGGTGAGCCCTTAAGACTATATACATCGGCCTGCATTATTTCCATGAACCATGCTGTATTTCATCTGGTCACGATTTTAAAGTCATCTCTTTAGCAGTTTTATGAACCGCTTGGTCGCCCACAAGGGCACTGGCTCATTTTCCATTCTGATCCGATCCTTCATAGTCACTCACAATCTTGTTTCTCATGAGCTGCTTGTTTGCCCGCATCACTTCATATGCAACCTATGAGCAACAAAGAAAAAATAAAATAAAAAATATATGTATATATATATACAAACGAATAAAAACGAATCCTTGGTTCCATCAGGGAAAACAGTTTGCTCTCTTCATCATTGCTCCATACCCAGTCTATATATATATATGTTATATTTATATTTATATGCATGCAAAAATACGTATATATATACACAATCTTGTTATGAGTGTCTCCTGTCACAAGCTGTCCCACCCCTCCCGCCGACACGAAATTGGCCAGCATTTGCTTTCAGCTGCCATCCATCAGCCGCTGTGCTACTGTTTTTGTTCATCCAGGTTAAGCTGCTCAACTGGCGGGAACGGCCTCTGTTGACCGTATCGGAAACCAACCTGCTGCTGAACAAGCTGCAGGAGCTATCTATTGCTCGGCTGCGCCCCGACTTTGCCGACACCGAACTGGCCCCGGAGGCTCTGAGCTCTGTCAGGCTGGCTCTAGCGACAAATCTTGGGCGGGCGATCCTCGAGGACTGCTGACTCTCTTCCCTTCTTCAGTGTCCCTTCATAGATTTCTTTGCTCTCCATTGCCACGGTTTGTCCCTTCAAAACCCTGAACTGATTACGCTGTAAGCTTAAGAATTGTGTATATCATAGGACCTGTGGTTACGTGTTTCGTTCTCGTATATGATGGATGATCAAGGCAGTTCCCTTTCATTTGTTCGTCATCATTGGAAATTATTAACTGATTTTTTATAATCACTTATTGAAATATTTATATGATGCGGTGATCTAAAGATCATCCCCACCTCGGTCTTCGCCGCTATTGGGGATCACCAGTGGGTTGAAGAAAGAAAAGTCAACCCACTGTAGATTAGAGAACTGATTCCTGTTTGATGGATGAACAAGGTAGTTCCTTTTGATTGTTCGTCACCAATGGGAATTATTGAATGACTTTTTGTAATTACTTATTTAAATCTTTATAAGATGCGGTGATCCAAAGATCATCCCCACCTTGGTCTTCACCTCTATTGGGGGTCACCGCAGCTTCGACCCACATCCCGAATTCTGGAGGGTTGAAGACAGAAAAGTCAACCCACTGTAGATTAGAGAACTGATTCCTGTTTGATGGATGAACAAGGTAGTTCCTTTTGATTGTTCGTCACCAATGGGAATTATTGAATGACTTTTTGTAATTACTTATTTAAATCTTTATAAGATGCGGTGATCCAAAGATCATCCCCACCTTGGTCTTCACCGCTATTGGGGGTCACCGCAGCTTTGACCCACATTCCGAATTCTGGAGGGTTGAAAACAGAAAAGTCAACCCACTGTAGATTAGAGAACTGATTCCTGTTTGTAGCCAGAAAAATTAAAAAAAAAAAAGGCAGGAGTTTGGCAAGAGAGGAATTATTCACAAACGCGTTCATCTAGAAAACAATGCAACCGCTCGAGTAAGGAAACCCGGAGACCTCCCCTGACGCGAAATGAAGAGGAGAAGACCCACATCATGTCCTGCAAGATACCTAGACTCTGTGAAAAGAATAGTATGAATGCCTAGAAATACCTTGATGCGACCAACAGATCTTGCTGCCACCTCTGATCCCTCAGTTCACTGTCCATCGAGCTTACAAAGAAGCCTGCTCTTGACCGAAACCAGAGGAAGAAGCCACCGATCAAAAAACTCTGCAGTCCATCTAATCCCGGGCAGCGAAGACGACACACGAAGAAGAGGGCGGAAGTTTTGTGGAGGATATCAATCCGCGCCTGATGTTCTTGAATCAGTCATAGCTTCTTGGGGAGGCCGTAAGTTTTCTTGAGATATCTCGAGGCAACTTCGTCGTTCCTGTAGCACAGAACGCGCAAGATGGTGTTGGGTTCTGTCGGGCTCCAATGGCCCGAAGTGGGGGGCAGCGGGAACTTAGACTTCGACACGGGGCCATAGCTTTCTGCCATTGTGCGCCTGAATCGGTCGATCAGGTTCTCTGTGTCAGCGCGGAAGAGGGGCAGCATGGCCCTCACTTGCATTGCAGCTTTCTCGACCAGTTCTTCCGGCAACCCATCACCATCAGCAAGGTACAGATCCTTGAGAGATCTGAAATCATGCTCAAATACCTGAGAATCCTGAGAAGAAAACGCCCGAGATGGCCCGCCTGCAAGGAGAACCAGAAGAAACGCGTCGAATGTGGCCTTCATCAGCGCGGTCACCACGCGATTCCGCAGCTTGTCGTGCACCGTGCTTGATATAAGCTCCAGAGTCTGATTCAGCTCCTTCAGCACCGGCTCGATCCTTGAAGCCGTCGGCTCTCCGACGTACAAGCCATCCCACAAGACATGGCTAAGATCACGGAAGGCAGTCTTGTAGGCCGTGACCTCACAGAGATGCTGGATCCCTTCTTGGCAGCCGGCCAGGCAGAGCTCAAACTTAATCTCCAGACCATTTAAGACATCTGCCTGCGCTGATTCGACGTTCCTCAAGCAGGTGATCACTTTCCTTTCAAGGTTTTCCAACTCTGTTCGTATATGGTGCAGGGTGTTCATGCGGACACACAGCCGCGCCAGGCTGAGTGAATCGTTGCCATTCATCGTTCCCACCTGAGATCTCCTCTGTGGGTTTTGGGGCTTTTCCTTCTTCTTCCACAATTTCGCGTCAATTGTGCATCTGGTTAGTGCTGGCAGTGCAGGCATGAAGCTGTTCCTCGTCCCTGAAGAAATAAATACGTAGTTAGGTACTTCTCCGAGGAAGGACGCCGCCAGAAGGACCTTTGCTGACGCCATGACTTACCACATCCGGACCTTGCCTTCGATATGTAGTGATGGAGGCTTTTATCAAGCCCCGAGAGCAAGTCAGGAAGCAAGGCAGGGTGCATGGGAATTGGCAGCTGAAAGAAAGCATCCAAGTTCTCATCTAGCAGCCGTAGGACCTCCACCACAGAGGGGGCAATGTTCTCTTTGTTCGCCCCTGGCTTCCACTCCTACAGACACCAGAGAAATGCAGCCAATTAGAACACGATGGCGGCCCGCTCAGGGAGATTATTTTTTTTCTTCGACAGATCACAGACTCTCAATGATGAACATTCAAACAGTCACTGTTCATAGCCACGCATTTGTTGATGCAAACGGTAGATGTCATTGTCGTGCAAAAAAAGAAGGGTTCCCACTAAAAAAGAAGATATAGGTTATGATACAGCAAACTCATCTTCGATCTACCTCAGGGATGGCGTTCGAATACTTAAATTTCGCACTTTGCACGAAGACATTAGGAAAGCTAATGCTATTTTATTTATGTTCTGCAGGGCATGGGCATATCTACAACAGTTGCAGACAACAGGGAGATACGTGATATGTATATTTTGTTCTCTCTCAAGCTAGTTTTCTAGCCAAAAAGATAGCTTTGTGCCAGCCAACACTCCTCATTGCCCTTCTGGCAGTACATCTCCTGTTCAGGTCAGGTATAGCCATATTTCCAGCTCTAGGTTGTAGAGATTTGATCTCAAGAAGGCAGCAAGATGCAAGAAATTCCTGTGGATCCTTGATTAGACCAGGACAAGCCGAGCCCATGTACATGAAATAAGGCTTGATGATGATGATGATGATGATGATGGTTCTTGCATTGCCCATCCAGTACACTCCATATGGCTAAGCCATGGATGAATTACAAGAGGATGAACGAATGGTGATGCAAGACAACGCATTGAGTAGTCAGGCTAAACCATGTTACAGCTACACCAAACCGTGGCGCTCAAATTGAATAGAAAGCCATGGTTTTCCCTTGGTAATCACAAAGAGTAGAGTACATTCATAAAGTCAATCCCATATAACACCTAAAATTCTGGTAAGTCCGGAGAGAGCATATTTCATGCTCATATGGGGAAAATAATCAAAATGGATGTCCTGATAGGCCTACAAACTGTGGGCTGATTTATTCTAATCATCATGTGGATGCAAAACCTTAACAGGAGAAGACCAACACGTTTATAACTAATGGCACTTCTTAGCATGGACATCAGCTCAATCAATTTTCACACCGCAAATCCTAATTTGGAAGTATTAGAAGAAACATAGAGCTGAAAAAAAGGAGGCATTTAATGAATACAGCCTCACATATTTCCCATGAGTGACAAAATATACTATTCAGCAGGAATAGAAGACCCCAATCGGAAGTAGCTGGCATAAACTTGAGAAACAAACCTCTTTCTGTGCGTTTCTATCTATCCATTCCCTGAGCCTGTCCACCCGAGTTTTAATCCAAGTTCTTGTGAGATTGGCGATCGCAGATTCAGCCTCAAAAGGTGGCATCTCACGGATTATTGCCTTACCACCATCCTCGCTTTCAACTGAATCTTCCACGGCTATTTGCACAAGATCTTTCTCCAGCTTGTCCGCGGCTTTTAAAACCTGAACAGAGTCAGGCGTCAGCTCAGCGACACCTGAGATGAACTGCCTCAGTTCGTTTGCATAGCATGCATGGAGAGTTGCGACAGCAACACCAGCAGCAAGGGGGTGCCATTTCTTCAGTATCGGGGTGAATAGATCTTTCTCCTTGCTTGCTAAATCGCCAATGTCCTTTGCAAGGATGCAAAGAAGTGGTTGAGATGGACTTGCATGGTTCTTCATGGATCGTCTATTGGAGTCTGCTTGCTCCATTCTCTGCGAGAAGAAAAACAAGAACAAACTTAGCAAATTCAATGATGCAGTTAAACATCACAAGGCACATAAGCAAGACGCCAACTTTAATCTCCCCTTCTTTGAGTTGGTCAAAAATAAATAAAAGGCTGAGCACCGTAAAGGTTGTGAACACTTTATGTTAGCTGATGAACCAACAGGATACCGATTAGGAAAGAGGAGGTATTATCTACGAATCATTGTCCATCACAACATTGTCTCTTCTATTTTCTTAGGAACTTGGTGTTCTTCAGAACAGTTCCATTGTAGGTATCTACAAAACTTCTAAGAGAATACGATCACATCCCCACATTTTTTTTAGACTTGCCTGTACAAAAGCTGTACGAAGTAGCTAAATTGGCTGAAAGAAGGATTACTTTGACAATGTTGATAGATCATTCTACATACGGCGAGGTCTATTTTACTCCAATGCAAGCAACAATTCTATGTATACTCGAGAAGGAAAAATTAAATATTAAAAATTTTCCCCATAGTTTTTCACGAGTGGAAATTTAGCAAAGGAAAATCCATTTCCTGGCTCAACCCCAGCATCCAAACTTACCCCACATCCAGAAGTAATCATGAAATTTCATCCAAAATAGCCGAATGGTAGGGAATAGAGAGATCAGCACAAAGATAAACAACAATGTTGAAGAAAATTTTCGTGTATATACTCTAAATAAATATTTTTTTTTGCAAAATGAATGCAATTATATCCCCATATTTCTTTCAGACTTGCCTGCGCAAAAGCTGTACGAAGTGAGGATCTAATGTAGGCATCGACTCTGCTGCGAGCAACATCAACTTCCTCTTTCCTTTTACGACGATATTCATGGGAAATGTCTTCCACCAGTATCTTCGCAGCTGCTACTCCCAAAGAAACAATACTATACATTGAATCCATATTGCCAGCATGAAAGGTATCGTGATAAGCAAGAAGCCGCTGTTCAGCCCAATTCATTATTGAACTCAAAGTCGAACTCAAGATCTTGGAGTATATGGGATCCTTGTTTGTTTTAACATCCTTTGCGACCTCTGCTAACTGGTTATCAGCTGCAAATAGTAAATCCGTGTCCACTTGGCCCGTGATAACAAAATGGTGGAACAACGCCCATGTGAAGCAGAGATTGTGCAAAACCTGATCGATTCCAAGGATAGACCAAGTCTTTTTAATAAGATCCAAGACCTCATCAACTTCTTCAATGATCGACCCTTCTTCACGATCAAAACACGCTTCCAATAGAATCTGGTACAAGTAAAGATTTAGGGGAATCCCATCTGCCCAATGGCATTTATCAGAGATAGATCCATCAGAAGATCTACCAGCTAGTGCCATCACAGCACTGCGTAACACCTGCATTGACTCTGAGTTCTTTCCGGTCTCTAAGGGTCGTTCATAAGCTCCATTTATGATCTGCCGGAGCCGTTGAGACGCAGTATCCGATCTGCTTAGTTTAACATGGGGATGAAGGAGCAAACCCATATCAAGGACCTTTAAATTTCTTGCTTGCCAGGACGTGTACTCCTCCTGGTCTGGGAAATCTGAAGCCTTGAACTGTTGCAGTAGCTCTAGTGGCAACACCATGGACTCCACACGCCTCCCCAACTGTAAGAAGAAGATGATTCCATAGCTCAGCGTCAGTGATTCCATAGCTCACTGTAACATCCGGATGAATGTCAATCTTATTTAGAAAGAAGATGAAAAATCGGAGGTCCCAATGATAGCTTGCATTAATCCGATATAAAAATACAGCTCTAAATATAAAAAATGAGGTTCGTGGACTGCATTAATCCAATGGTGAGGGATTCAGCAACTCAGTTCAAACATGATCATCAAAGTCAACTGATAACCGCCTGAAGTTCGACCAGAAAAATTCTCAAAGAATGAGGGAGTTCAAGAACTGGTTTTTACAGGACAAGGCAAATCATTTTCGAGCTTCCTACGCCAACCACGGCGAAAAAAAGAATGAAATGGCAAGAAGGAACCGTCCGCTTCAGCGGAAGGCAAAGGATTCTATGGGCACGAGTGAAAGCAAATATAGATGGCATAGCGTGCCGTTGACGAGAAGTGATCATAGAAAGAGAGGTGCAATTCCGGTCGCGAGAAATTCTGGCAGAGAGAATCATCAAAAGGTTCTGGGTTCGATTGCAGTTAGGGAAGAAACAACGCGGCTACTGCATGCACCGGGCACATCACCGACAAGAATCCGATGCGACAACTCAGAGAGCACCCCACCGACGAATCACGCGCAGATCTCACAAACGAGGGGAGAGAAAAAAAGATAGATCCAGCTTTACCTGTCCTGCTGAAACCCTGAGCAAACCCCGCCGGATCCGGGCGTCCATCTGCTCGGAGACTCCCAGCTGGACTCTTACAAGCTCGCCCACCGTCAGTGGCTTCTTCGGCGGCTTCGACGGGCTGCTCTCCTTCCCCGGGCTCTTCTTGGACTTCAGCCCCAGAGCCTTCTTCATCTTGCTGGCCGCCGTGGCGGTCAGAGTCCTCTGCAGCGACGGCGAGGCCGACGACGGGGATACCGTCGACAGAGACGGCGACAGCGACTTCTCCGGCGTTCCTCCGGCGGGAGACCTGTCGGCTTGCGAAATGTAGGTGAGGGGCTTACCGCCGGTGGTCCGGCTGACGGCGACGAAGATCTCGTATGCAGTCTCCCGGAGCTCCGCCGTGGACAGGCTGCAGCCCAATTCCCCAAAAGGAGAGGGGAGATCCTCAGAGGCGGAAGGCAGGGAGCTCCCATTGGTCGCCCTCGTGGAGTCCCCTTGGCCTCCCTTCTCCCTGAACAGGCGAGACATGGTGACGAGCAATGAAGAACAATGGCTCCCTCCCCACCGCCAACTCTCTCAGCTTATCCCCGTTCTCTTGTACCCTTTCCTCCCTCTCTCTCTCTCCACTTTCCCGTGCTCCGCCTGCAATCGCTCAGAAAGACAGCGGACCACCTTCAACGGAGGATAACATCGTCGGCGAGGCGGTGGGTGGAAGACCTGCCCACGAAGCGACGGAGGAAGAAGCCCAGAGAGACCACATTTAACCCACCACACTGCGAGCCCCCCAGGAAGGGAAATCACAGCAGAGAAGAGAAGCAAATGGGCGACAGCAGAAACCAGGAACCCCCCCTCCCTTCCTCCCTCCCTCCCTCCGGTTAGCGACGAGGTAGTCTCCTCCTGCTTTTGTTTACAGGAAGAAAGAGGGAGAAAGAAGAAAAAAAAACCTCTTTTACCAGTTGCGATCAGCATAGCCTGCTTAATTCTCCACGTTTGACCTTTTCCTGCCTCTATCTTCCACCTGTCCATGAGAAAAAAAATACTCAGATTATTTTCAACTAAAAATATATTATTTCTTGTCATTCTCACGTACTAAATATGGGATTAAATAGAGTGTGTACATATTAAAAATATATAATATTATTATCTGTGGGTGGGCCTTTCTTCCACGCGTTGGGGACTCGGTCCGGTTAGCCGGTCGTCATCTGAACCGGCCGGGGATGGCCCCACCGTCGGCCCAGATCATCCTGCGGGTCCCAGCGGCGACCTTTCAACGGCCAGATTGGAGTCGAGAGTCAGAAGCCGGGGCGGTAGAACAGCGCTGGCGACAGCTGTCAATTCCGGGGGGACGGCTTATCTTCCTCCCAACTTTATTTTTCAGCCCCTACATAATTTTTCACAGAAAACCCAAACCCATGATAACTATATTTGTACACATAACCTATAAAAATCTAAAGACCTGCTTTGAATAGGGTTTTAAAGAATTTTTGGGTTTCGAAAATAGCTCGACCCCCATTCCAGCCTTACTGTTCTTGAAGCTCTCGCCGTCGGAGTCACACCCGGTAGTCGCTCTCTCTCTCTCTCTAGCTGTTCGTCCTCAGAAACAGCATACTTCACCAGAAAGGTAATGCTTATAATCTCGCTAGCTGTTCGTCCTTAGTGTCAATATTATTTAGAAAGGAAAGCTTGTCAAGTTGATTATAATGGAATAACAGTGCAATGGGTGCCCAAATTTATCATATTTTGCTTTCTAAGAACATGTGAAGCTCAATCATGATAGAATCATTTTCGTCAGTAACAAGTCAACACTGATTCTCTCGGGCCGCTGTGCTGGCAGTTTTAGATTACCAATGTTCATGTAAGTAGATTGAGCCGTTGACTTACTGGGGGGCTGCTTTAGCTCCTCGTTTTCTTGAGCTTCATGATGAACTCGTCGTCGTCGTCGTCGTCACTGTAGTTGACTCTCTTCTTAGCCTTGATGTCTCCGTTCTTCGGGACAGGCGGTTTCTTTGAGCTTTCTGGCCTCTCCAGCTTTGGGGATTTGATTGGCGTACCAGTTCTTAGCTGTTGCTGCCGCCTCTGCTTCTTCTCATACGCTCTTTTTGCTCTGTCAGCGGATAGCATGCCATGTTCCATCATCCTGGGCACAAAATTATTTTTTTGATAAGAAAAGTAGACTGCAGCCAAACTGTTTAACAGCCTTATTATTATTATTATTATTATTAGTATTATTATTATTATTATGAGCGCACAAATATTTAGCCATCAATCATTTCTGTTCAGCCAAAGTACAAAAATAGAGAACAAATCCATGAAAATAACTAGTTTTCTGTAAAACATTGCGGTCAATAATTTGTCATGGGAAGTACGTAAATAAACTTTACTGTAAACTAAGAGGTATAAATCCATGAAAAGACTTGAGTTTTTTACACTACTCTTCCTTAATAAGTAAATATAAACATACAGAAGATGAATTCCATATGTATTTTCAAACATAAAATTAGAAATGGGTGCCGATATTTAGTGATATCTAAGCATGGAAGTGGTGAGAAACTACTATGGATCACTTGTCGTTCTAACCAATAGCATTTTTAATGTCTTGTGAGATGCCTTCTACTCATACGTACTGTATATATATATATATATATATATATATATATATATATATATACAGTTATCCATTAAGTTAAAGAATGAATATTTGGGATTTTTCATCCGCAAAATGAAGATCATACATCATTCACTATTCATTAAGTTAAAGGGCATTAAATATCTTGAATTATGCCTGACATAGCTGTGCTTCAATCACTAATTTCGTCACGACTTTTCTCCAGAAAATGAAAGATCTTGAACTATGCTCCACTCGCTTTCTACACATCCTAGTACATCGAAAAGGCTGATCTTTTCATTTTCTCTACTATTTTCTCCTCCAATACGCAATCTAAGTATTTCAGTCAGCGGGATTAGCCTATAGATCTGAGTTTTCTACCTTCCTCGTCACGATTTTCATCATTAAACTACAGCTTCACTCTCCTTTTCTTAATCCATCGTAATCTGACGTTCTCTTGATCCTGCAGCTGGGATATATTGGCAAGAAAATTTCCATAACAGAAATGATTCTCCACAGCTTTACTTTCTCCATTAAAGAATATTTTCCTTCTGTAACTCAACCTGAAAATGCATTAACTTCCCATAAATGTATTCTCACCCATGATCTCGTAGTTGAACGGGATTGGGGATTTATATCTACGAAAAGTGAATTGCAACAAGTAAGTGCTCTGTTCATTTTGTTTACTTTTGAGGTAAGGGAGTGTGTTCCCTACTGCTTACCAAGCGTGAATCAGTCTATATATAGGATACGCCATGCATGTATCTGATTTTAAGAGAAATCAGCAAATATTAATTTAAATGATGATCGACCGACTATATAACCATCCTCTTTGAGTAGTCACAATAGAGTTATGCTGGCAGTGAAGGTCATAAGCAATGTGTCTGGCTTTCAAAGCAATATTTAGGGGAAGCATGGAAACGTCCACTGACTAAGCTGGTTACTTATGATGTGTAAAAGGTGGGCTAGAATAGGGGACATGGGGGTAGGAATTCTGGGAACTTGGGCACGAGTACAACCAGAAACAATGAATCTTCAATAGTAAGTTAGATGAAAGGTCCAGGATAGGATTGGCAACAATTATATCTTGAACCCGTGGGCAGAGACTTGCAGCTGACGATCTTGGAACAAACGGCCCACAAAGTGTGCTCCTCTTGAGGGATGGTGAGGATCCAGCAAGGACAAAATAACCCTTAGCTTCATGCTTTGGGGGTTCAATTCACACCAGAGAAGGACCTTCTTTCAAGGAGTATATTGGAGAAAGAGCTTAGAGCAAAAAAAATCATTTCTGAAAGACAGTCTCCTGACATCAAGTTCAGGCTACTATTTATAGTAGGCCTTTGAAGGGGCGCTCTTAGATCTGACTTAGACAAATCTCAACAGCTTCCATAACTAATGGGCTAGAATTTTGGCCTTAAAACTTCTATAAAGTAGGCAAAATAACGCTTGGGATACCCTAGGTTCGAAAATGGACCTTAAATACTCCTTGAAAGAAAAAAAATAGACACAGATAAGCTTGAACCTAATGAATGACCTACGAAAATCAGTAAAAAAATTCCCTATTATATTATTCACGAAGTTCAGCAATGTGGTTCCTTCAAGGTAGACCTTGACCGTTGTATGATTGACTCTGATGCCGCCATTAAAATCCCAGCATCAATCAAGTACGTGGCTCAAAATTCACCAACAGTGCCCTTGTTTCTCGTTACTAGGCAACTTCAGCTTTTACATTTGTATTAATCTGTTTTTACCTTCTTACTACTGACTCACCACAGCTAAACTCTGGTGTTAATGCATTCATAGCACTTGTTCACCAAGTAACATCTTTGGGCTCGATGCTGTAAAAGAATTTGGGAAATTAAATACTGTGACATTGTCTTCAAGAAGCAAGGATCCTGCTGTCCTCAAAAGAATCCGTGCCGATACAAAATACTTTGCGTATTTTGGAAAGAGGGGATGATAGATACTTGGATAGGACTGCTTTGACGACTAGAATTCCTTTAAAAGATATCTCAAAGAAGTGGTTAACCGGAGACCTTATCCCATGCCTGACAAGCTCTTAAGTTTGCAACTAGAAAGTGATGCCTCAGAGGAGTTAAAAGGAACATAGCACTGCAACTCTCACTGCACTAATTCAAGGGCCAGGGAAGCGTGCTCTTCTTATGATTATATTTTCTTATTTTATCTGTTTGTGTGCTGCAAAATCAGGAATGAACTGATGGGGAGACTGGTTCTTCAATGGGAGAGTTCCAATCAGATAGTCCAAAATAACCCTTAATCAGTCTGTATCATGTAGGTAGTGACATCATAGCAAGCCGCAAACTAATGGTTGATATTCAAGGATTTTCGCTCAATAAATCTTTAATTTATGCCTTAGAAATCATGTTATACAGCAGGTTAGGATTTTTTTGGGTCATTCAGGATTCGTTTTACTCATGGTTACCACGCGTAAAAAGCCAGGCTACTCATCACTTCCTGTACTCCTGCCAGGTCAGCGCATGATGAGATCGAAAGAGAAAAGTTTCAGCATACAATCTTTAGGGAAAAATGGTCCATGCACACCGTCAGTACTAAATTGGGTTACTACACCACAATAATAAAGTATCACTGAAGAGGATACTGAATTATGAACGGAGAAAAATATTATGCACTAATTATGAACGGAGAATCTACCAAAAGCATATTATTTAATGAATGGAGAAGCCTAGGGAAAAGAGCTAGATTACTTCATAGAAAAATCCCGTAATACGTGAAAGTGCAAGGAAAATATTCGAAGATTTGGAAGAAACCCACCAGAATTCTGCCATCTCACTGGAAGGAATCTGCTTAGACAACGACTCATAAAATATCCTCAGAGGCTCCCTCTGAAACGAGCAGTAAAATCTGTCAAAATCTTCTGAGTACCCGGTAATTCGCGTACAGGAAGAAAATAGTTTAGGATAATACGTGTCAGACCTCCTCGGGTGGATCGTATTTTTGACCGGGAAGACTGAAAACTTTCTTCTCTGCTCTTGCTCTAACTGCTGTGGTTTTCGAGGTTGTTTTGACTATCGTCTTTGTTGAGCTAGAAATCGCCGTTTGTGGCTTTACCTTCACACCACAGCAAAGACAGAAGAAGCAGGGTGAGACTCTGCAGTTGTGAGAATAATGACTGATGCAGAAGAGATGTGAGGCCAGGAACAGAAGTTGAGTCGTCAACAAAGAATAAAACAAAATTGTCTCAAGGAGAAATCAAAGGCAGGTATAAGCAGGGAAAAGGCAAGAGGAAAAAACGAAATGTCTTAGGTCGACATTCGCAGAGAAGTAATCAGGACAATGGAGAAGCTCGTCCAATCTAGGAACCGTTCACCTATGACATTTTTCTTCTGATGTTCCGTGGGGAGCAAATCAACGGACAGTATAGCATTCCGTACCAACACCATCGGAAAAACAAAATCAATCAACTGCTAAAAAAGGAGATCGGAAAGAGCGACTTGAGAACCGAATTGGACACCCAAATGCACAAGGAAGAGGAAGCAAACATAGCTGCGCGAATCCGACGCCAGAAATCGCTGACACGTCGGCAAGCATAGCGTATTCCCTCATTCATTCGCTAGTCACATCGGGATGGAGGGAAAAGACGTTACCCCGGACGGCTTACTAATCGATGTTCCGATGGGCTTCTGCTTGGAATCGGGAGCCTGGCTCTTAATCCCAAGGCCATCGATCCTCTTCTTCACCATCTGCGACGGGGACTGCAACCCCTTGCCCTTCCCACCGTCATCCCTCCCTAGGTTCGGCCTCGGCTTCGCCCCGCCGCCGCCTCTGATCTCCGTCATGGCAGATAAACAGGATCCACAGCCGAGATCTAATTCCCTGCGCGCCTCCGTTTCATGGATCTACACGAAGAATCTCGCCGGAGACGCGCGCGAGAGCGCAGGTCGCTGCTGCAGCAGGCGGCCGCTTCAGCTGGGAGCTTACCCCCCTGCCTCTATCGTTGTTTCCAAGCAGCGTGCCATCGGCTAATGGCACGAGCATGCTATCCTGCGCTGGATTTTTTTAACATGCGCCCCGTTTCTTGGACTGATGTCAAGACAGTGCGATTGCGACACGTGGCATTCCAGACGTCCCGTTAATCGCATCGTTTTTTGTAGGCCCAATCGCGAAAATCATCGTTGTCCGTGTTATAGGGCGCGCCTAGATTCCTGGGGGCTGACGTCACCGGCCAATCCCGGCGTCGGCAGCTGCAAAGAGGAGTTTTTTCCTTTAATTTGAAAATTCCCCTCCTAACATTAATAATTAATAATAATATTAAAATAATCTCGTGCGTGAGGAAAATTGGGGGTAAAAACACGTAATAATTACATTAGTGGTCATCTGTGAATAACATGATATTATCTAATATTGATTTGAATTTTTTATTTTTCACGGGGGGTTTATTGCAATAAGCGGGGCTTGAACTGGAAGACCCTGTTGAACCAGACGGAGTGGAGGGTCATGTGGAAGGCGTCGTACCTCTCCGGCATATTGTGCCAGAGGAAGTGCCTGCGCACGCCTCTCACGCCGGCCTGCAGGGCCAAGTACTTCTTCTCGGGAATGGATAGGAGGATCTCCTTCAACCTCGGGACGTCCTTCTCCGCCACTACCACGGAGAAGGCCTCCCAGTTGAGCACCTCGAAGAGAGGCGGCACGAAGTTGTCGGAGATGATCGCCGGCACGCACTGGTAGAAGATGGCCTCCACCACTCTGGGGCTGTGCACCTCGTAGCCCCTAGGGCAGATGCAGTACCTGCTGCTCCTCATGTACTCGGCGTAGGACATGGTGGCGTTCTGCTTCCTCGCTCCGCGACCCAGCGGGCCGAAGACCTTGATGTCGTTGTCTCTGTTCCGCCATTGCTGCAGCAGCAATGGCCGCAGGTGGCCGTGCATCTTCCCGGCGAAGAAGGCGAGGACGGGCCTCTCGCCGGCGGATCTGCCGCCGGAGCCCTGCATAGGGTTCTTCGAGTCGTGGACGTTCGCCTCCGGCAGGGTGACGTCCTTCCCCAGCTCGTACATTCTGGCGAGATTGGCGTTGCAGAGGGCTCTGATCGTCTTCCCCATCACTTCTTGCGTCTCCGCTGGTGCCTGCGTCGGATGGTGCAGAACAGAGTGAGGGATTGAATATGTGATGTGTTTTTTGAGGGGGAAGGAGAGTGAGAGCAGGGAGCAGGAAGCGCACCCAGTCATGGCAGGCGGCGAAGAAGTGGTCGGCACCGCCGGTCCTGTTCCAGAAGGGGTACTTGCCGGCGATGGTGGCGACATAGTCCTTCAAGTACTGGATTATATATTTGCGGTGGGAACCAGGGAAGAAGAGCTTCTCCCGGAGGATCTTGGAGCTGAAGGGGATGTAGAAGAGGTGGGCCTTGGTGGGGTCCTCCACGCGGAATCGCGTGCTTCCTTCCATGTTCTTCATGAACCAGCCCTCGGAGGAGTAAATCCCAGTGAGTTGGGGGCTGTGGAAGATGGGCTTCTCCCCCTCCTTGTAGACGTACACTTTGAGCGTCTTCTCCATCAATTCATAGCTCCTGGAATGGTTCACTCTGTTAGCCTTCTTTTTTCAGATAGACCAGCTGTTTCAAGACGGGAAGGAATGTTTCATTCGCCTCTGATGATCATCCATCTACTTCGGTATGAATCTCGATTTCTTACCCAATTCTTCTTTAAGAGCAGATTCGATGAACCACATACGTCCAAATCATGAAGTCCAACACCAGATATATTATCTTGAGAGAGGTCTCCGCAGAAATCCAAGCAGATCACGTTATGGAGATCCAGAGAAGTCAAAGAGGGACTGTGTTATCGTTGATGAACAGAAAGTATGCGCAGAACCGGATTCCTACCTCTTAAACATGGAAATATTCCTGAAAGCGGGCGCGTAGAGTTCTGGATCCTTCTCTACAATGGGGGCGTTCTCTATCTCTCTCCTTGCGCGTAGAATCTGCAGATCAGTTTTAGAAGACCACCGGGGAACCTGCGGGGCATATCAGGGGAAAAGAGGGGGCTGAATCCCTTCGTATTGAAAGAAAAATTCCCTGGAAACTGCGCCAAGGTTTCTGCGGAAGAATATTACCATCGAACAAGACGATCGACGATTATCTGACAATATCTGGTTCATCTCTGGTATCGACAGTGGATCGGTCCTCGTTTTCCTACTGACTGCGGGAATCATTCCTACCTCACAGCTGGAAGCTTCCATCTCCTCTGCAGTGGCAGTGGTCTGGTTCGTGGTTTTCCTCTTTGTAGCTTCGACGATATGAGAACTGTTGTCCGAGCCTCTAACAATCTCCGACTCCGAACTGGCATTAACTTTCCTGTGCTCGAGCGGCGGAGAGACAGAACCAGGGACGGAGGAATTTCTTCCCGGATCTGCAGGTTTTTCCATCGCAAAGGGGCTTGGTATGCTCCCATTCTCAATTGAGGGAAGCAGCACCGACGGAAGGCTTCCAGGGGAGATTTCGGAGTTCTGAAACGCCAGCACGGCGAACGCAATCAATGCCGTCGCCAAGGCGAGGACTCTGACTCCAGGATGGCATAGCGTAGGCAATTGAGCGGAGTCTTTCTGAATTCCGAGCATGCTCGGCTAGACGACGAACGACTCGGGAGCCAGATTATCGCGAGGATCTCACCCAAATCCTGCACCATCGCCAATTGAGGGAAAAAGGAAGTGAAGATGAAGATCCGAGGAGAGGTCGGCACTTCACACAGACATTTGACTAGAAATCCGAGATGCACGCTCAAGAAGAAGGTATAACATCCAGGTAGAGAAATGCCGCCGGCAGCACGAGTGCAAATCTCGGTTAGAGGGACGAAACAGATCCAGAGGAGGTGGATCTTGAACCAACCCAGAAATCAAAGAAGGAGACTTACAGAAGGAGATGAGTCCTTTGGACGCCCTTCGCCTTCGAACTCTGTCCGGTTAGGAATTGTCGATCTCGTCTCCCTCAGAACGCCATTGCAGGGCAACAAGAGCGAAGCTCTGCACCGTCAGTGGCTTAATCGTAATTGTATACAATTTGAGGACTGTTTCCCGTGACAAGGGACCCACCGGCATAATAGCGCTATCAGTAACGGCGGCGTCGGTGACCGACAGAAAGGGGAAGATACAGAGAGAGAGAGGGGAAGGACTCTCCAACAGTTGGCGGGGGGTGCGAGTTAACCCGGCCGACTTCTTTGAACTCGTTCCGGATTCGCCCCTGTTCTGGTCGGGTACGGATTGAACTCGGCCGGGTTCGCCCGTCTGGTCGGGTACGGATTAGTTATGGCCGGTTCAGACCGTTTATGGCTCGTCCAGACTGGGATATTCTGGTCTGAGTTGTGGTCCAACGTGGACCTTGTCCGGTACCGGTTAAGGCTGGATCCGCCCGGCCTCAATTGGATTGGAATGGGCCAGGCCCAATACTGACTAATTGGCATGAAGTTTAATCACTATTATTTCAGAAACCTCAATTTAATTCCATATTAGGCCTATTTTGATGATATTTATGAATGCATCCCTTCTGGATGTGTGAACAATAATTTTTTTGAACTAATGATTTACTATGAATATCACATGCCAAAGTAAAGAGATGAACGCTAGCACTTTAGAGATTGGTAGACACTGAAAAAAATAATTATTTTTTAGCAACAACGTGCTCTAGTTATTTATTTTTTAGCCATCACAAAATAAGAATTTTTATTTTATTTTTTATGGAGAAACCACAATACCATCAATGAGATAATTTTCCCGTCAATTTTTTAAAGGTCAATAATATCACCATAAAATTTCATCATGTATAATTAGTGGAGTAATGAATTATTTTATTCAGATTATAGTCTCCCACATTATGGAATCCCTCTTTTTAATCTTACTCCCACTATTTTGGTAAAATATAATTATGATTGAGCAATATTTTGGTAACCAAAATGGTCCAACTCAAAAAAAAAAAATCCACTTAAAATGACATCCATTAAACCCTTTTAGCAAAGTTCCACAACATTCCTGCAATCCACTAACAAAAATGCCACGAGGTCTTTGGATCTCAAATTTTATCATCTTATCTAGCTATCAAGTTGGATCAATCTTCTTGATTTCATGTCACCTTGGTTCAAGCCAAACGCATAGAAAGTATTGGATCTTCTTGAAGCACACCAAGAACAAGTATTATAGAATCAAAGGCTTTGATACCAGTTGTTCAGGACAATGCAGCATGCATCTACGATGAGTAATAGGGAGAAAGAGAGACATAGTATGAAGAAACACACACCTTATAGACGAGTAGTTGCTTGCACGAGATTAGGGAGAATACACTGCGCAAAAGATAGCTAAGCCCATGAAACTAAGTTTTGCTCCGAGGGGACGCGCGGACGTTTCCCGTTTTACGGCGCGTCGGAGGCTCCGCCGAGGGCCGGGTGGAGCTCGCGCCAGCCGAACGGAGCACACGGGAGTAGAACTTCCAGTCGGGGTGCACTGCGGTGATGGGTTCCTGCCCAAGACGGTGAGAGGCGACGTAGGATGGCACCTCCGTTTCCGCCGCAGCTAGGCCTTCAAGAAAGGTCCTCATTTCCCCGTCTGGTCCTGCAGCGCACGAGGGGTGAACTAGGGTCACGAGAAATGGAGCGAGGAAGCACATACGAGAAGGTGAGGGGAGAGAAGGAACTCGCCTAGTTCGGCGTCCTCGGTTTGGCTCACGTCGTAGGGGCTGGGAAATATGCCGGTGTTGGGCTGCAGGAGGAGATCGAGTCAGCGCTTGCCATAAGTCGGCCGGAGGAGAGGTGAAGAGAGAGCGTGCGGCTGCTCACCGGGTTGAGCAGAGGCTTGTAGTCGACGAGCAGGGTGTTCTTTTCAGAGAAGCTCCGTCGCTCATCCCAAAGCTTCCTCAGCTCATTTAAGAACAGGGGCTTTTCGCCCCTCTCCAACGTCTTGAACCCCGTGTCCGTGCAGTTGCTCTAATCCTGCGGCGCCACAGAGAGAGAGAGAGAGAGAGAACACTCAGCCTTCCAGTGGCACAGAGGGAGAGTTCGACTCTATCGGCAGGGCCAGGGCTCACCCAGATGAAGAGGAGGCGGTCTGCCAGGCCCCCCATGACACACTCAATGATGCCCATCAGGTTCCACCTGGGAAGAGGAACACCCATTAAGTTATCAGTGAGGACAAGAATCGGCAGAGCCTCTTATGTTTCGCATCTGTAGAACAGGAGAAGCAGCACGCACCTTGCCACAGATGACCAGACGACTACATCAAAGCTCTTGAAGCAGAAGCAAAGGAAGTTGGCGTAGAAAGGGCGCTTGAAGACTAGCTCAGATGTTGACAGAGAAGGACAAGAAGGAGCCAATAGATGCGCAACAAAGTATGTAAGAGAAAATATGTAAGTATAGAATCTCAATAACAATGAAAACTCAATTTCTAAATATCAATGAGAACAAGACTTTCACTAAGTACTTCTAATTCACGTCTCGATGCCCTCGAGATGACTCACACACTAGAGAGTCAATAATGAACTCTTATTTCCTTCTATAAAGACTTCACTTGTAATAGACGAAAGAGAAGATATCAAGAAAAGGAATAGAGTTGATAGAGAAAAAGAATAGACTCAAGAGAGAAATAGTCATCCATCATAATCAAAGAAGAGGAAATATATGTCCTATTTATAAAAAATAGAAAAATATAATTACTCTCTAAAAAGAAGCATCTCGATTTACATGTAGTTATGCCTATACATATCAAATATAACGGCTACAACCACCCTCATTCTTTCTCTCTACATGACCCTCATAACAGGTCATAAGGGTCGACGTGACCACTATGTCACCACCTCCTTACTCTTCACATGCCTTTCGAGCGAGTTAGATGGGAGAGCTCTCTTACACCTCTCAAATAGTTGAGATGGGAGAGCTTCTCTCGTACATCTCTCGAATGGGTAGCCATGATGGACTGACACCACCAACAAACTCTACCTTGACAGCCATCATCATTGCATCCGGAGTTAATGTTCGTCTATACTGCAAGTTCTCCACCTTCTATAAGATATCTATAACATGAATCAAATTCAAATAATATTTGAACTTATTCAATATGACAACTTTTGTCAACATATCCACAACATTCTCCTTCGTGTGAATCTTTTCTAGAGAGATATCTTTAGAATCCACCAACTCATAGATCTTATGATACCACATATTAATATATTTAGATCGTGCATGATAGACCTAATTCTTTGCTAAGCAAATAATACTTTGACTGTCACAATGTAAAAAAACTTCACCTTGTTAGATCTCAAGTTTGCTTAATAATCCTTTCAATCACACGACCTCCTTGGTCGCTTCAGTAGTTGTCATGTACTCTGCCTCAATTGTAGATAATGTAACAGTAGTATGAAGTGTAGACTTTCAGTTGACACATCCACCAGTCATGGTAAAAATATATATCATCGTAGATCTTTGATGATCTAAATTCTTGATAAAATTTATATCAATAAAACCAACAATAGAAAGACAACTTTGCCAGTTAAAATGGATTTCGAAATCTAAAGAATCCTTTAGATATCAGAGAATCTACTTCACTACACTTCAATGCTCCTTTCTTAGATTGTTTATAAACTTACTCATGAGCCCAACTACATGAACAATATTTAATTTGATACAGACTATAACATACATGAAAGAACTAACTACACTAATATAAGGAATTCGTTTCATCTCAGTAATATCTTTTTCATATGTCAAACACTGAGTAATAGATAATTTGAAATGACTAGCTAGAAGAGTGATCAATATTTTAACATTACTCATGCCAAACAAATTCACCACATTCGAAAAATAACTCCTTTGAGTCAACCATAGTTATTCGAAGTAGTGAGTATATCATCAACATAGAGCATCAAAATAATCAGAAAACCATCATCACAAGTCCTCATATAAATACAATAGTTGAAATCACACATTGTAAAGTCAATCTTCAACATATAAGAGTCAAACTTCTTATACTATTACCTTGATATATACTTCACACCATAAAGAGACTTCTTCAGTTGACAAATAAGACATTCTAACCCCTACACAATGAAACTCTCTAACTGTTGTATGTAAATAGTCTCTTCTAAATCTCCATGAAAGAATTTCGTCTTCACATCTAACTACTCAAGCTTCGTATTTTTATGTGCGACAATGACTAATATCAAGCGAATAAACGTGTGCTTCACAACAGGTAAAAACATTTCTATGTAATCAATTCTCTACTTCTGTGTAAAGTCTTTTGCAATAAGTCTTGCCTTGTATTGAGGCTGATTATCATCAATCATTGATGACTTCTTCTTGTACACTTATTTGCACCTAATAGCTCATTTCTCTATAAGAAGATCTATCCATTCTCAAGTGTGGTTCTTGTCTAAAGATGCTTGCTCCTCAAACATCATCTACATCCACTTCTCTTTTTTAAGATAATTAATTGCCTCTTGAAAAATTATAGGCTGGTCATCTCTTGTAAATAATACAAAAGTAACATAATCATCAAGATGAGTAAGAGGCATTACTTTACGCCTACTCCGTCTAGTGGTAATATAATGAGGAACATTTGATGATTCTACATCTCGATCTTCACTTACAACAGAACTAGGACTTTGCACAATCTCCACCTCTAGTCTTGCTATGTGTACAACTTGAGTATTATCAGATTCTTAAACCTTCTACTTTCTTCACATTTCTTCGACTTCGGATCCAACTTCAATCTCTCATTAGTAGGTGTAAGAACATATCATAGACATCCAAATATATATAAATTCGAATAGTCAATATGATTTTCAATTCATATCTCTTCAACAACCTTCTCATAAAGAGTAGAGTTTAGTGATTTAGTCATCAAATAAATTACCGTACTCATAACTTCTGTCCAATTTTTTTTGGACAAGTCGACATTTAACCGTAAACACCGTACTCTATCAATAATCGTGTGGTTCATTCGTTCAGCAACACCATTTTGCTGCGGAGTTTTCTTCACCGTATAATGACGTTGAATGTTATGCTCATTACAAAATTGACCAAATTTAGAATTCTTAAATTCTGTACCATTGTTAGTCCGTAAGACTTTGATCTTTCTCCCCGTCTGATTCTCTACCTTGGCACACCAAGCCTTAAACTTTACAAATACTTCAAACATGTGCTTCAAGAAGAATATTCAAACTTTTATAAAAAAATCATCAACAAAAGTTAAAAAATATCGAGCACCACTTATCGACATCACATCAATCAGACCACACACATCTAAATGACATTGAATGTTATGTTCATTACAAAATTGATCAAATTTAGAATTCTTAAATTCTGTACCATTGTTAGTCCGTAAGACTTTGATCTTTCTCCCTATCTGATTCTCTACCTTGGCACACCAAGCCTTAAACTTTACAAATACTTCAAACCTATGCTTCAAGAAGAATATTCAAACTTTTATAAAAAAATCATCAACAAAAGTTAAAAAATATCGAGCACCACTTATCGACATCACATCAATCAGACCACACACATCTAAATGAACATAATTCAGCACACCACCCGTATCATGTTTCGCTATTTTGAATGTCACATTGTATTATTTTCTCGTGATACAATACTTACAAAAATTCAATTTACAAGTTCTCACACTATGTAGCAATCTTCGTGCATATAACTTCTGCATACTTGTCTTACTCATATGACTCAATCGTAAGTGCCATAAAAGTATGTCATTAATCATAGAATCATCTGATGTCGCAACATAAGTTCTACCTACAATAGTATTCCACTTAAGTTTATAAATATTCATTTGTTGACGTCTTCTCTTCATCACAACAAATGATTCCTTTATAATCTTGAGAATCCTATTCTTTTCTTTAAAGCAACATTCGTTTATTTCTAATACTCCAAGCAAAATTAAATTTTAGTGTAATACTGAAACATGACTAACATTTCTAAACTCTTGGACCACTCCATCAAACATCTAAACCTTCACCAAACCAATGTTCACAACTTCGTAAGCTATATTATTTCCCATAAAAATAATTTATGTTGCACTCTTGTATGAGTCAAATTAGTCAACATTAGGACACATATGATAAGAACAATTAGTATCAAGAATCCATATGTTCGACAACTCTTCAATTGCAACAAGTCTAAAATAGACTTCACCATTTTCTCTATCCTCAACCTTTACAACATTAACTAAACTAGATTCACATTCTGTTGTTTTATCACTCTGGTTCTTCGGACAATCTCTTCACAAGTGTCCTTTCTCATGATATTTATGACAAGTTTGATTTTTCAACCAATTTGTTCATGACTTGAATCGACTCTTCTTATCTTTTAAAGATCTTTTCTCTTTTTGCCTTTCACATTCTCTTCCACCCTTTACATATAAACCTTCACCATGAACTTCACCAATATCCTTCTTCTGATAATAATACTTCATTAATGAGTTAATAACATCTTTAAGAATGGGTGTTGTCCTATCATGCAATAAGGTTGTAACAAGATGATCATATGAATCAGGGAGAGAAATAAATAAAATAATAATTTTGTTCTCATTAGAAAAATTCAATTTTATACGAAGTAAGTCATTCAACAATTAATTAAAATAATCAATATGAGATATCAAATCATCTCCATCTGACATGTGTAACCCAAATAACTTTTTCTTCAATGTCAATTTACACATCATAAACTTTGGTGCACATCATTTCTTCAACTTCTTCTAGAGTTCTTTTGGATTTGATTCATCCATGACATGTTGAAGAGTCGAATCAGACATACATGTATGAATAAAACCTCCAGCCTTCTTTATTATCTCCTAATCATCAGCATTGATTTTGTTTGACTTTGAATTATTCAAAGTTTTATACAAGTTAGTCTGTAACGACGCATCATACACAAGATACTTTCAGATATTAAAGTTAGAAGACTTATCTAACTTTTGGATGTCAGATGCACCTTAGAAGCAATAATAAATCTAGAAATAAATAAATCAATATTCTAATATCACTTGTAAGAGAAAATATGTAAGTATAGTATCACAATAATAATAAAAACTCAACTTCTAGATATCAATAAGAACAAATAAAAGAGAAATCACCAAGTTATCAAGAATCATGATGAGAACAAGACTTTCACTAGTATAATCCACGTCTTGATGCCCTTGAGATGACTCATATATTAGAGAGTCAACAATAGACTCTTATCTCTTTTTATAAGGACTTCACCTATAATAGAAGAGAGAAAAGATACAAAGAAAAGAAATAGAGTTGGCGAAGAAAGAGAATAGACTCAAGAGAAAAATGATTGTACTCAAAAAAGGGAAAATACATGCCCTATTTATAGAAAATAGAAAAAGATAACTACTCCTTAAAAGAAAGTATCTCGATCTACGTGTAGTCACGCCTACACATCTCAGATGTGACAACTACAACCACCTCATAAGGGTACCGTGTCACTGCCCTATTACTCCTTGCATGCCTCCCGAGTGAGTCAAACAAGGAAGCTATCTCTTACATCTCCCGAATGGTTGAGACAAGAGAACTTCTCTCGCACGTCTCCCGAATGGGTCAACTATGATAGACTAACATTGTCAACAAAGTAAGAAAATCATCATCATCATTGTCGTCATCATCATGGTGGTTGTTGTCATTCAACAAGCTAAGAAACACATCACCTACCATGTTTTCAGCCGACAACAAAGTTTGGTTTCTAGGAGTTGGGAATGCTGATGCTGTCACCAAGTAAGACGGTGTGGATGAACAATCCGTTGAAGTCGAGTATCAGCAACTTCTTGCCACCGGTGAGGGAAAGGCCTAGCTTCTCGATGCGACATGCGAGATCATCTTCTACTGATGCTACCGAAGTCTCGTTGCCCCGTGCAGAGTTTCTTTGGGAAGATCAGAGAGTGTCGACATGGTGCAACAACCTGTGTAACTCTCTCGCCTCCTGCAAGATGTGCACCCAGCTTGTAGAGGGCGATGCTTACCTTAAGTCCATGGCAAAAGTTGCACACGTCTTCGTTGGAAAGATTGCAAAGGATGCTTGTGATTTTTGTTGATCAACTAGGTAGCAGTTGAAAGCAAGAGGGTAGGTCGCTGATTGGCCCTCATTCCCCAAGATGAGCCATCACGTCAAAACTCGTCATTATTACTTTCTGTGATTCCCCACATAACAAAAGATAAACTTGCGGTTACCCTTCACTTATTTTGCTGTGAAAATAGCCATTGCGCTCTAGGAGCTTGTGAATAGTCGATTTGAATGATATATTATTGTCGAGAATGAATAGTCTCCCCGTCAATGAACATCGACATGCTTCCTGTTCTTGGGAAATTAGAGCATTCGTGCAAGCATCTCATACGCTGTACTACGCACGGCCATACACTTGATGGTTCCCACCAGTTGAAGTTTCTATAGGAGATGAAAAGAGTCATGCATTGAATGTACAACACACGGTCTTAGAGCATAGTCACAAGCAGAACGACTTGTGGACCTTTACAAGATCTGAAGTCAATGATGACCTTAGAGACGAGGTTGCGGCAGTAATTTTTTGGGCTCGGAGAACTAGTGTAACGTTGTGTAATTGTATTGTCGTTCAAAATTTTCACCTACATTGTTGCATATGTTTTTATTTTTGGTACTTGGACAGATCAGCGAATGACTTCACATGTATGTAATTATGCACTGGATCTCTAAAAGAAAGAAATGACGGATATAATAGGCGACATGTCCTTTATGTCTGTAGCACACTATTTATTTGACAATTAGCAATGATTAGGGAGAAATTAGGAGGTAAAGGATAGATTACAAAAGGAATAAAGTAAAAATAAAATTACTCTATGTACATATTATTCTAATTTTTTAAAAAATACTTTTTAATTAATTTCAAAGTTCAAAGTTCATCATAGTTTATTTTAAGTCATTTTAGAATCAATTAATGTTTGTTTAAGGTCATTTCACAACAAGTTGGAATCTATTCTAAGATCTATTCAATATTTATTCAGACTCCCTTGTAGATTCAAGCATCACTTTTTGATCTTTTGGATTTAAAGTCACCAATTGTCGATTCAAGGGTCGCTTTTTGATCTTTTGGATTTAATATCACCACTTGTAGGTTCAAGGTTGAGGATACTAACTTTGTAGATTCAAAACCAGATTTCTACTTCAAATTTTATGCTTTGTGAATATATACTCAGATTTTATTATTATTTATTATAACTTACACCAAATGACATCATAACAAATTTCACATTTCAAATATACATCTAAAGATGTCTCAAAGTACATTAACTCATATCCATAATGATAATGATCATGAAGTATGTCATTTCTCAAGATGCATTTTATTGAGTTTCAATAATGAATAGATCAAATATTTGAAGAGCTTAGTAAAAAACTTTTAACATGAATAACTACAATAGAAAGTCATTGACACCCTAAAAAAGATCATGATTTTAGACATGCTCAAAGGGTCATCTACATTTATTGAGAAAATCATTCCACATTTATTTTAGGGATGATTATTTAAAGATTAAGATAAAAATTAATTTATCATTTTTTATTGATAATTTGCAAATTGAGAAGTTTTTAGATTGATTCACTAAAGTCGAGCATTTTTCTAAAATATATGAAGATTTCTAAAAAACAATTAAAATCATTAGTTTATAAATTAAATGCTGAAACTTCTATTTGGTGGGAATAATTGTAGTCCATGCATACTAGGTCATGCAAATAATCTATATGCACTTGAAAAAAATGAAGAAAGCTTTTAAATCATATTTTCAACGACTTAGTTATGAACATATTTTATATAAATAACATCAAAATTATAAATAATAAAGTCTATTTATTTCTTATTATACTATGAAAAGTTTTATCATTTATCTCTAGAATTGATTTAACAAAATCTGAATCATATATGATTTCAAAATTCAAATGTGGTTTCAAGTAGAACATTAAAGAAAAAGTAACATTGTAGTCATTTTTCAAGATTAATAAAGTAGTTATGTCAACATAACATGTAAAGTATTTGACAAAAAAACTCAATCTCAAAATTTTAGTAATAAGAATTCAAACTTTCAACAAGATAACCTTAGTAACTTGACAAGCAACTCAAATTTCAATATGATCAAGTGGATGAATATATATTAGAAAAAT